GGGATGGCAGGGCGAAGGACGAAGGACGGTACAATGCCGTGAAATAAGGATTAATGGTGTACACGATTATTTGTGCCGGGTGACTGAGAGACAGACAGACGGTCGCTCGGTCGGTGGGACGAACAAACATATTAAAAAATACAATACGAAAACTGTCGCGAGGGCTGCAAGGATACGCAAGGATATTCATGGGGTGGCGTAGGTCGAATTTAATAAAACTCTCCTTCTCAAGTGTTTATCCTGCGGATGCGAGGGGATGCTGGTTGCGATTTCGCCACGCTTCTGGTTGGCTGGCCGAGTTCACTTGCCATCCTGTCGGCTTTTCTTTAGCCGAGGGGTGCTTAGTGCCACTGACAATTGTTTTCCCCTCCCCCTTCGGCCCTGCGCTTTCCCTTTTCTCGTATGATGAAGAATTTATTTGAAAATTAAGAAGACAAATTATTTAATTTCGACTTTATGAGCTTTTCTGCCGCCCTCCCCCGTCATTCGAGTGCTTTAATTTTGAATGCGAAACGGACGTCGAGGATAGGGATTTCCAGGAAAAGGGTTCGCTGGCGGCCATTTTGAGCGCGGAAATGGAAAAGGCGCTTTGCATTTTATGCCCGACGCGGTAATAAACACGCAGCTATAGCAGCCAAGGCTTAGAATATCAAGTCGAGTGGCACGAGCACGCCACAAACTTAATTTCATTTAGTTTTATGTACATTTCATTAAGCAAAAAATGTCCAGGCATCGCGACGGCGACCAACATTCAAGTGTCCGGACTTTGGACTAGGTCCTGCACATAAACCCAACTATGGGGACTATATAGCCATATAGCTATAGCGATGGCGATGGCGATGGCGACTTGGGGACAATCAAGATAAATAGCAAACGGAATTTTTATTGCCGAAAGGATACGGCGAAGGGCGAAACAAAAGGCAGCCCAAAGAGTTGAAAGTGTTGACGTGACTGCTGTGTCCTGTGGCCTTTGTCCTCGATGTGGGCAGCCAGGATAGTCTCACAAACTCACAACCTCACAAACTCACAGTCTCGAACTCACACACGGCCACGGAAAATTGTCAGAATGTTTTGTATTTTCCAAATTTATTGCCGGTGGCCGCATTTTGTTGTCGCTGCGACCATAGATTATCTCATCGTTTAGGAGGGCCTAATATGCGCCGGAGGCAGTCGCAATATGATTTATCGCCGACCTACCGATATATGATCGTTCCGGGTTTGTTTACCTCAGCTATCCTTTACCTTTCGGCTTACCTTTACCCCGTCCTTATCCTTCCACCTTGACGCTTTCGGTAGCTCCAGCTGCGAGCCGAACATTTTTAATTACGCTTTTTACAAGAAAATTAAATGGCAACATGTCATCACTAATTAAATTGTTCTTCTCTTCGGTCTCCCAGCCCTTCATGGTTATCCTGCAAGTGTGTGTGTGTTGGAAACAAGGGAGGAGTGGGGGTGGAAAGGGTTGTGCTAGATGATGACTGCGTTGATAATGCCGGGGAAATACATTTATCAAACGGGGCGATAGTGGGGCCTAGGGCACGGGCTATTATGTTGTCCTCGGGCACCATATTCAAACTATATCTGTCACTGGTCGTTAATGATCGGTCATTTCAATTAATGAAAATTATACCAACCATAAATGCTAACGAAATCCATTGAAAACCTTATGGGAGCAAAATGATGTTTACTGCCCTTAGTAATTAATCGTAATTATGTTAAGTTTTACTTTTTATAATGAGCAAGATCGGGACAAACAATCGGGGAAAGGTAGAACCATAAAAGTATCGCTTTACAACTTTTAAACCATTCAAAAACAGCCTGTTTTTTTATTTTGTAATTGGAAAAACAAAATCTATTGCTATTTTTAAATCATATGTTGCTTACCGAACCAATCTTTCAAATTTAATACTGCGTAATTTAAATTTGGTGATATTTCTTTAAATATAAAAATAAGTTCAACACATAAATATTGCTCCCTCTAGAAGGGCGTTGCCAGGGTTATTGACAGCGGGCAGGAAACACAAAAAATGTTTTTTATTAAAATAGAATAGATAAATTCAGTTCTTATTATTTAATAATAGTTGTCTAACATTTTCTAAAAATAATCATGGAATGTAAAAGTAGTAAAGTGGTTTCAGCTGCCTCAATGCTCCTAGGGGTACGCCCTAAACACTTTGTTTACTCAATATAGGCATATATTTTCTTTAAATTGTCATTCTATTGAATTACCAAAAATGGAACTATTTTCGTCTTCCAAATTACAAAGTCAACACTCCAACAAAAAAATATAGTTTAACTCTTTATACTCGTTGTATTAAAATATACTAGGTAAATAATATCTAATTTGAACTCTGTAGTATTAATGTTATACTAAATATTATAAAGCTCATATTTTGTGGTTGATTTTCTTTACTGAAAGATTGCCTATATAACTTCCAAAAGTATTAATTTAATACTAATCTTATTAAAATATATTTGTAATTTGCAACTTATCATTTAAAAATGCTATTCTTAATTCTGAATTCTTATAATTAAAAACAAAAGAAGCTAAACTTTTTTTCTGTTAGTTTCCCGAGCATTCGTATGGGAGCTAATGGATATAGTTGTCCGATCCGGTTTGATCCAAGTTATACGTGTTTTGAAAATATATTTAAATTTGGCGGGCAGATAACGCTTACCAACACTCATCCCTCCAAAACCATTCTCAACACTGCTGTGTAATCGAACTGGATCGATATACTTTTGAGTCCTCGATAGGATCCCAAGCTCTCCACCATGGTTTTGGAATAAATTAATATTTAGCAAAGTTTTCCACCATCGCCATGAACCGTGACCCGGCTAAGCCTAGCGAGGACACCCTCCCGATTTTTTGGTAAGATAGTCGATAGACGTCATCGAAGTTGGTATTTTTGAAACAGTATAAATGGTATTAAATACGTTTTTCAGAGCCAGACGGTATCAGGTAATTCCGCGGTCACACTGTATTCGTGGAACCTTTGCGTGATTTGCTATACGAAATTACTCAAGTAAAGGTTAGTAAAAATAATTTAAAAAGTAGGCTGTGCAAGGGTTTTTTCGCCGTCTCCAGAGGGAAAACTAAAAGCCTGCTGAGCCGCAGGTGGGTTTTCCGCAAATTAGCCATAAAATTTTCCACGATGTGCAAGAGAAAACCGATTAGATTGTGTGTGTATAAGTCTGTGTCTGTGTGGTCGTCCTCGTTTCTTCACGGCGAAAAAGTCAAGCTGTGAAATCAATAAAAGTGCGAAACGCCAATAGACGCCTTCGTCACTCAGGCGAGGCAATCATCTCTAAGAATTGGTAGTCGAAAACAGGAACTGGGAATTCTAAATCAAGTGAATCACTCCGAAAAAAAACACAAAGAAAGTTTTGCCCGTATATGAGTGTGTGTAGGTACACATATTTATGCCACAAAATGGCGGCGGCACATCGGAAAATCTCAAATGCTGTTGACGTTGTGGCTCTTCGAGCTATCTGTAGTGTGCCCCCCTTCCCCCTAGAAGACAGCCCACCCCTGGAGTTGAAGTTTTTCTTTTTTACTCCATTTTCACAGCCTCACTTTTGGCGTGTGCCTTCCAGATGCTCTCCGATCTCTCACGCACACACACTCGTGCTGTGTATACCCCCATGTGTGAGTGCACTTTGTTCGCCTTGCGTTCGTCACTATTGGGGAAATGAGTGCCTTTCCATGGTTTTAATTTTTTTGGGGTTTTAAGATATTTGCTCTTGAAGCCCCCCTGAAAAAATGAAATACTTATTGCAATGTGGGTGTGCCACTTGGCCAGTTAAATATGCAGACAGCGACAAACACTTGCACACGAGAGCCGAACGCTCGAATTGAGGTCAAAATCATCCACAACTGGGTCCGGGCGGAAAACGGAAAGAGGGGGGTTTATTTGTCGGGTCGGGGTCGACGCCTCAATGCAGCAGAGGGTGGGTTTTCGCATTGGGGCTGTTTAGTTGGCTTTGCCCGAGCGGAAGAAGACATTATTGCAGGCTCAGAAATATGTATGTACCCTCGTAGAGCCAAAGACACATTGCAGGGTTGTTCGTCCTATCGCCAATCAATTAAGCCAAGCAAATTGAGCGAAATGCCAGTGAGTCAGCTAATCAGCTTTTGCAACCCCCTTGTCGCTGCGCCTCTGCCTGTTTCCCGGGGTCAAGAGACTTTAATTCCGTGGCGCAGAAGACTGGCATCATCGTGTGCGAGCGAGACGGGGCTAGCAGGCTGGTGAGAGAGGGGGAGCGAGATCCCCCAAAGCTGAGGCCATAAACCCCAACACAAAGAAAGGACACTGACACACGGACGCAGCTTCTAGTTCTCTTGGGTGTGTGTGTTTGGGGAGAGAGTGCGCCAAACAAAGAAAGCGGGAACAAAGAACCGAGTTGCAGGCCATAACAAATGAGGCAATCAAGCGAAAGTAACTTGGCGAAAAATATTGCCAGGCAACGGCTAAAAGCCAGTTGGCATTGATTAAACCAGTGATTAATTAGAATCTTCCCAGCACTTGATGTCTGGATGGCAATGCCACAAGCACGCACACACACAGGCGCAGGTGGGGAGAATGCGGCAGTGCCGTTTCAATTGGCGGGAGAGAGTGGAAGTGGAATATACTTGAAGGTGCTCGCCGAGGTTATTTCCATTAAATGCATATTTTCCAGTTTGCCAGTCAGGTGCTGTTGTTTTTGTTATCCGCTGCGAAATCGAGTGTAAACAAAAACAATCGCTGGAGATTTGCAATTTAAACCCACTCGCACATCATCATCATCAGTTTTCCTTTGTATTTTTGTCACAGTTGTACGTAATATAGTTGATTCGTCTGGTCGTAGATTTATTTTTCGTCTAACCTGTATATTTTAGTCTTTCCTATTATCTCCTTTTTTATTAACTTGCCACGGTTCCCCGGCTTCTCCTGTTTTCCCCTCCGATTTCTCCGCAGGATTCCCCCAACGCAAGGCCATAACCAGTGTGACGTAACGAGCGACCAATTCCAGGTGTTACCACGCAGGACTTGCAATCTCCAAAGGAGCTACAGCTACAGGAAGAGTCCGAAATCGGAAGGAGAAGCAGCATCGTCATCTCAACTTAACGGGATACCCGAGCATCCAACTTGTCTCTGTGTGCGTACGCGTGTGTGTGTTAGATTTGTGTGCGTTTCGTCGAAAGTCCCCGAGAGGATCAAGCACCGACCAGACCAGGATAACCAAATCCAGATCCAGATCGAGATCCCCCCCAGAAACGGGGAAAGCTAGCAAGACGCCGAGAGGAACCCACTCCGTGCCACAGAAGCACGCACCCATTTCGCCCCCCAGTCGATCCAGAAAAGCATCCACCATTCCTCTATCAACGTACGACGCCGCTCCCCTTTTGCACTCTTACGACGACAGTCCGCAGCGTTGGTCCGGAGTCACCAACGGGCACCAGGCAGGCGTCATCATAGATCAGTTCCGGGGCGGTAAAGCGATCACCATTGAGGGAGGCACCAGCACCGGTGATACGACGAGCATCGGCGGCGGCAGCGATTTACGACTGGTAATAACGGCCAATCCCAGCGAGATCGAGCGCAATTACGAGCAGCCAACCAATCGCGGTGGTGGCGGAGGCGGCGGCGTTATCGGCGTCAGCTGCGGTGGCCAAACCCCACCGACACCCACGGTCGGCAAAACCCTGCTCAACACCAGTCCCAATCTCCTGCCGATCACCACAGCGACCGATACGTTCAACAACCTCAAAAATCTGGTGAAGATCGACAAGGGCTCGTCGCCATCGTCGGGTTCGAATTCGCAGGGCGGCAGCGGCTATCGCAAGGGCGGCTCCAACGGATCAGGCTTCAAGGGCAACGGCGGCGGCAGCGGCAGCGGAGGATCTCCGGCCATTAGCGGCAACAGCGAGGGCGGCAGGAACGGCAGCCGATCATCTGGTGGACAGGCCGGACACTTTTCAACTGGCTATAGCAAGAATTCCGCCAAAATTCGCCAACACGACAGTGAGGTGAGCCCAAGACCTCGACGATCTTACCAGGGTGACTCGTCGTCGTCGCGTTACTATCCGAAAAATAGTGACATTTTGGGTCAAGGCTTAACCGGCAGCTCCGACGGCTACAACGGCGGCTCCTCCTCTGGCAGATACCAGCAGCAGGATCAGCAACGTGGTAGTCGCAGCAACTATCACTCCAACTCCGATGGCAGCTACAACCGATCACTGAACTCAAACTCCCAGGGAGGAGGAGGAGTAGGAGGCGGATCTGGAGCCAGCAACTATCGCTCCGGCCGCAACTACGAGAACGGCAATGGGAGCAACGGCCCACCGTCACGTTACGGCAGCGGCAACGGGAACGGCAACGGCAACAGCAGCAACTTCAACGGATCTGCAGCGAGCTCAACCAGCAACAGCAAGTCGTCGTACGGCGGTTCGCGCGGTGGCAACGATGGAGGCGTGAGTGGCGGCGGCTACAGCAGCAGCAACTATCGCGACAGCTACGAGGATTCACCTTCGCACCAGCGCTACAACAACACCAACAGCCTAGAGCGGAACGGAGGAGGCAGCGGAGGAGGAGGAGCGAGCGGAGGACCTCGCAGCTACGGCAGGTCGGAGGCGGATCGCTACGGAGGATCATCGGCCAGTCGCACGCCCACTCTACGCAACGGCAATGCATCTGCTCCAATCTCTGGCTCTACTTCTTCGAACAATTCTCTGAACTCCGGATCAGCGGCGGCAGCAGCAGCCCCGCATTCCCAACAGCAACAGCAGCAAGCAGGCAAGGCAAGCACTCCGCCACCGATCACCGGACGCTGGATACCACCCTCGCTGCGTCCGCAGCATGGACTCACCCAGAGCGAGAAGAACGACGCCGTCTTTCGACGCGTGAGGGGTATTCTGAACAAGCTAACGCCCGAGAAGTTCCAGGAGCTGAGCGATGAGCTGCTGAAGCTGGACCTCAACTCCATTGTCATTCTGAACGGCGTGATACTGCTGATATTCGACAAGGCCTTGGACGAGCCCAAGTACTCGTCTATGTACGCGCAGCTCTGCAAGCGTCTGTCCGAGGAAGCCCCGTCATTCGACAAGGAACCAAACAACTCGTGCACCTTCCTGCGCCTCCTGATCGCCGTCTGTCGCGACAAGTTCAACAACCGATTGAAGCGCGACGAGAACGACAACCGACCGCCGCCCGAAAATGAGGCCGACGAGGAGGAGCGCCGCCATTTGGCCAAGCAGCGGATGCTCGGCAACGTCAAGTTCATCGGGGAGCTCAACAAGCTCGACATGCTGTCGAAGACCGTGCTGCATCAGTGCATCATGGAGCTACTGGACAAGAAGAAGAAGCGTACGGCCGGTGCGCAGGAAATGTGCGAGGACATGGAATGCCTGGCTCAGCTGCTCAAGACTTGCGGCAAGAATCTGGATTCAGAACAGGGCAAAGAGCTGATGAACCAGTACTTCGAGACGCTTGAACGTCGGTCAAAGTCATCTGAATATCCACCGCGGATACGCTTCATGCTGAAGGACGTCATCGAGTTGCGCCAGAACCATTGGGTGCCGCGCAAGCTGGGCACCACCGAGGGCCCCGTCCCCATAAAGCAAATACGCTCGGACGACGACTCGATAATCCGCACCCCGTTCCCCAATCGCAACCGGGATATGCGCAACAACGATCGCGACTCGGACAGCTGGATGAATCGGTTCCATCTGAATATCCAGCCGGGCGGCTATAATGACATGTTTAGCGGACTGAGTGTCACGGGAGCCTCGCCGATTGTCTCGCCGTAAGTATACCTATTTTAGTGTTAAATAAACATTTAGATTTACTTAAAAGGGGTTTAGGTGTGTTGGAAATAGAGCCTTGCATGGATGGATTCCTTGAATTATTTTGAATTTTTTGTTTTATATGAATAAATTAATTAGAATTTAGAGTTTAATAGAATTGATTGAATTTGACTAATAGAATTGAATGAATGAATGGCATAAATTCCGAAATAATTCAAAAGACAATTTCTTTTGAAGAGGAAAGTGCCATAATTTTGTGATTAAATCTGCCTGAATTTTATTGACTATGCAGTTAACCAGTTACCAGCAGTTACCAGAAAGAAGAAAAAAAAACTGGCAATGCGAAAAATTCATAAAAATTATTCATTCATTCTATTCGAAATGAATTAGAAAAACATTTATTCCACTTAGAATTGAATTAAACAAATCAGAAATTTCATGGCATAGTATGCTATGATAAAACAAAAATTGAATGATTCACGCAGGGCTCTAATTTGGATTTACTTAGAAGGGGGTTTAAAAAGAGTGCCTGAATTTAATTTCATATTTCCCATGTGCTTCATAGGTTTGCTACCAGCAATCGTGACCGAGATCGCGACAATCGCCAGTACAACAATCGCGGCGATCGCAACCGGGACCGCGACCAAGGCGGCAGCGGCGGAGCCAACTATGGCAATCGCTACAATAAGCACAACCAGAACGGAGGCGGCAATGGCGGCGGCGGTTCCTCCAACAACCGGGATCGCGATGATTCGCGCAGGAACAACGATCGCGACAGGGATCGCAACGACGGACAGTATGGGGGCAATCAGCTGCTGGGTAGCAAGGAGTTGGCACCGAGGTTCAAGCGCAATTTGATCACCACGAACCAGGATGCGGTGGAGAACTTGCAAATGCGCCCGGCGGCCAACTCCTTGCTCTTCCGAGCGGCCTCCCAGAACCAGAAGTTCCCGGCCACGCTGCCCATGTCCACGCCGCCCAACAGCAGCGGCAGCAACAACAATCAGGGCAGCTCGCAGGGCAAGGATCAGCAAGGCCAGCTGTCGAATTCGCACTACCCCATGCTGGGCACGCCCACCTCCCACTTGATGAATCCAGCGCGTCCCTCGTCGACACCATCGGCCGAATACGCAGAGAACCGCACTCTGCTGGGAGTGCAGAACGAGAGGGGCCTGAAGGCCACCTCCTCATCCCCGAACTTTGGATCGGGAGCTGAAAAACTAAGCGAGCAGCAGACCGACGGCCAGGCGGCCAGGAAGGGCTCGCACGACGGAAAGGATCAGGCCAAGAACGGGTCCGTGGAGCGCCCGAGCACCCCGTCCGGCGGCAATGGCTCGGCCAAGCAGCAAAAGAAGGACAAGGGTCCCAGCAAGGAGGAACTGGCCAAGAAGGCCAGCCAGTACTTCAAGGATAAGTTCTACTACGACGAGGAGGAGGATGACAGTGAGGTCAAGGTGACAGAAACAGAAACAGAGACTGCTGCAGCTGAAGATCAGGAGGCAAAGGAAGATGACGCCACACCTGTGGCCACTCCAGATCGCTTCACCTCGCTGGTAGATGGATTCCTCGAGCTGAAGCTGCCCGAGAAGTCGCTCAAGGATGTGTGCCTCAATCTGCTGATGGATGTTCTCGATCGCGTGAACGATGTGTATCTGGAACGCGTCGTGAGACTCCTGCAGACGTTGCGCAAACAGGCCAATATCAAGTCGAACATCGTGGTCGAGGTCTTCAAGCAGCTGGTCAACAAGATGAACGAGCGGGAGGCGCTGAATCCACGCATTGCGAGCCTCGTGGCCAGTGTGCTGGCCAAGACCGTGTGCGAACCGGCTCTGCTGAAGCTGAACGACATCGCCAACTTCACGGACAACGGACAGCACTATCCGCTGTTCCTGCTCGTGCTGCAGCAGCTGGTCAAGGTGATCGGCAAGGATGCGCTGGAGGAGAAGTTCCGCGCGAGCAAGGTGGATCTGATCAACAGTCTGCCGGAAGCTGATCGCAACAAGGAGCGTCTGGCCGCGATCCTCGAGGATCGACAGCTGTCCTTCCTCTATCCGCTGCTGAAGGTGCAGGCCGAGATGCTGAAGCAGCTGCAGAGCGACCCGAACCCCAACAACTTCTACAAGTGGATCAAGGCCAACGTGGACAACAAGTACTACAAGGACCCGGGCTTCATCCAAGCCCTCATGACCGTGGTGGTCAAGTACGTGACCAAGGAGACGACGCTGGCGGCCAACCTGGACCCCAAGGAGCACCCGGAGAAGGCGGTGACCCAGAAGGAGCAGCAGTTGCTGGAGAACTACAGCCAAATGCTGCAGACCTTCTTGGGACAGAACGAGCTGCAGCTGATGGCCCTCTACGCCCTGCAGTCGTTCTGCTACAACGAGAATTTCCCCAAGGGTAAGCAATAATCTATAATCATTAATCCATTCAAGGTTACTCATTTTTATTTGTTTGTTTCATTAGGCATGCTGTGCCGTTGGTTCAAATATCTTTACGAATCTGAAATTATCGAGGAGGAGGCATTCGTCTTGTGGAAAGAGGAGATTTCCGACAAATATCCAGGCAAAGGATCTGCTTTGTTCCAAGTGAACGCCTGGCTGACTTGGCTGCAGGAAGCCGAATCTGAGGACGATGAGGATTAAGCAGCACCAGTCCCGCATAACGACAACGCTATATGTTTATCACTTCCAATATTTATTCACAAATCGATAAAGATTACATGATGAAAAATAACAAAACTAACAAAAAAAAGAAAGTCAAACGAGAAAAAAGCAAAGAAAATACCAGCAGGATGGAAGTTTGAAATCGCGGTTGCAAATCTTAGTCAAATTATAGTAGAAGAAACAACAAAAAAAAAACAAATTAATCAAAATTATTTGATATCCAACAAATTCAAAGAACTTTAACAACCAATTATCAATAAATAAAACGCAATAGACGGCAAGCATAAACGATATTTAATCCATACAACATAATCGCCAGCGAAATTAGTAAATTACCATTGACCACTGACGTTTTAAGTCTAACTCATAATTAGTGAATTTCATCTACTTTTTTTTTACTTACATATAACAACCGGAACTGATCTTTAAATCGAATATCATTGATTTCCATTGTCTGCCTTTGTTTGGTACATACTCTCTCGCAGATTTCCCGATTGTGTATTTAATTAAGTAGGTCAAATCAAACGACAACGTAAATATTATATAAAAACAAAAACCAATCGACGTGCGCTGCAGGGAGCGAAACAAAATCTGAATGTAATTGTGAACAAAATATCGTATATATGTATTTTAACTCAACAAACGTAAACATTAAAATCTCGCCCACATTTAATAGAGCCTTAATAAATGCAACCAACACTGCGAACGGCGAAAACGAAGGAGTTTTTATTATGGGATTATAAGTGGTGTTTATTCAAACTTGGCGCCCTGGGCTTTTGCCTATCGATTTTTTCATTGGTAATTGGGAAGCCCTGGTTTCTTTGAACTAGTGTGCAAAAAATGGAGGAAAATTTATTTGGGGCATTGAAGAATAAGAAAATCTTATATTACCTCCTGTTTTTTCCTTATTTCCCTATTTCCACAGCCTTTTTATGAGACTTTTCATCTTAAAGATATTTCAAATTGAACGCGCGATTAAAATGGGTGGCTTGAAAAGAATTTGCACCATCTGGTAACACTGGCCAAAGTCAAATCTGCAATTTCATTGTTTTCCTTTTACATTTTCCCGGTTTGCATCCAAAATTCCCAATTAATGGCTACTGCGGCTGTCTTGGAAACTGGGGGAGTTGTTCAGGCGAAGGACTCCGGCCTTTTCACCTCACATTGCGTCCATTTGGAAGCGGGACCCTCGCAATTTACCGTTCGCGCCCTGAAAATGCATGGCAGCACGATGCTTATTGTGAATCCCAAGGAATCGGAGGTCTTCGAGGAGCTGGCGGTGGCCATGCCTTCCCGTAATCCCGCCAGCAGCGAGGCCATATCCTCCACCATCCTGGGCGGACATGGGCAGACCGATTCCTCCGTACTGGCAGCCAAATTGAGTAAACGCTACCGCCGGCAGTTCTATGTGAGTCTGAACCTGAAGTTGGACCGATTGGTGGGCCCCATATTCGAGAAGTCGCTAGTCACCTACATGCAGGACCATCTGGAGCACTTCGCCTGAGTGGGTACTACCCTGTATAAATATAAACCTGAGGTTCATACTTATTTATGGTTCACGTGCACACAGGGCCCGCCGATGACACGGCGCCGCGTGGGGGTCACCATCTATTTCGGGGACCGGCGGCTACCCCACGGACACAGCTCCCCGAACTCGCACTCCGCTATCTGGGATCTCCGATCTCCGATTCACGATCTCCGCTCAGACGTCATGTGGCGGCCGAGTGAGCGCGAACTTTAAACGTGTATCGCCTAAACGATTTTTGTACAATAAATTTATTGCCCTAAGTAAGTTTACAGACGAACGCTTTATCAATTGTGTCGCGATAGTGGCGCTGCTCAATGTAAAGAGAGGTCACCCGCTGTGGGAGTGATCGCGTGCCACCCGCATGTTCTTCGTGCTTCGTGCGGCCTCACCGCCCAGTGATTTGAAGGTCAGTTCGGCTGCACCGATCGCTTGATATTGATAGGTGATTTCCCCGGCATCGTTAAAAATTCGAATATGTATGCTCGTATTGCGCTGTTTTATTTATCAGGCCTGTGTTTCTGGTTTCACTTTCAAATTTTAAATGTTAATTTATAAAATGTGTATATCCTTGCAGATAAAGATCACGTGTAATCTACAAACTGTCAGAAATTTCGGTGCAAACTGAAATACAATTTTAAAAAACGTGATATCCATAATTTGATATTTAAAAGTCATACCCTTTTAATAAATCTCCCGTGGAAAGTCCATTTGACCCTTTATTCATTTTGAAGTTCAATCACTATTTTCACCACGAAAATCATGCTCACTTTAATATTGTGCCCAAGTTTAGTTAGTATCTCAATTTATTAATTCAAACGAATGTTAAATATTATTAATATAAAAATCTTTAAATATTATTTATTTTTTTTTTTATTTTGTCATATTAAAAGCTAGTATACAATACTAAAATAATTTTAAAGAAAAAATGACACTAGAAACTGAAGTCCTTCGGCCAACAAATCTTTAAATTAATTTTCACATGTTCATAGCAAGAAAAATCCATTCTTTGCTCGGGCTGAGTGCTGACAGGCAGAAATATTGACTTTAAGACTCTAGACTTTTTGCTTGTTCATTCAACACATATCTGTACCAAATAAATGTGGTACATTTCTAGAGTGACTTGTGCAAGTAAATCATTCTGTATAACGAGCTTTCTTAAATCAGATAGACTCACTAAGGTACCTTTTATTAGTAGCAATATTTTTCAATTCTTTAATGACGACGAGAAAAATAAATTATTTAGGGATCTATTTGTCGAATAATATTGGTCCAAGTAAAAAAGAGTAAACTCATTCCTTTCAATATTTTTTATGCTTTTGGATAAAGATTTTACAGTTATCCATTTTGTAACGTAAAAAACATTTGGTTACTCCCGAGCTACAAGTTCAAGTCACTTCCCGTTTGATAGTCTAATATTTAATAATTGTGATATCCAAAGTATCCACGTCATTGCTGCTCTGACTTCGCAATTTTTCAGAATTGTTTCAAGATAAAGTACATTGATACAAAAAAGTACCCAACCCCAGACAATATTATGTTACCTTACTATAAGTTTGAAGGACTATATGAATACCTTATATCTTTCGGCATTCTCAGACTGAAAGGTGGCTTCACTTCCTGCCCGACAATCGTAAATCTAAATCGACTGATAAGAAGTCTCAATTACCCCCGCCAAGAATGCCAGTCATATATAACGACAAAGCCCCCAGCGGCGTTGTGTAATTGTTGTTGGATCATACCGCTTGGATGTGCCATTGAAACTTTTCCGCTAAACTTCGAAATAGAAAAACGAAAAAAAAACCCACGAAAATAGGAAAAAATATAAATTCGCCTCTCATAATAATGCCCAGTCTAGACGAGATATTGTCAGGCGTATCAGCAGTGGTAACAGAAACAATAGCATATCGCTCCTAAATAGCAACACCCATTGAACGGGTATAAAAATAGAGCCCCTGCCGGAAGGTCTGCGCTCCGGGGTCTGTGGGCTCCCACGAATGTCTGGAATGTTTTTTTTTGCTTTATTATTTTTTCAGCTTTCTGTTTTTGGTTCCCCCGGTTGCCTAATAACTTTTCCTTTTTGGCCATATCACCCAACTGTCTGGCGATAAGCGCCCTATAAATAATAGATCCCAGTCGGCCGAATTCGAGCAGCCATCTGTAATAAACGGATTGGTCGGAGATGCGAGTGGTTCCATGCCCCGGTTGCATGTCCTCCGTGTGCCGAGTGATGACTGGCTGGGCCAGGCGGCCAGGCGGTACATGGACTTTGGAAGTCTGTCGGTGGCGGCAACAAAGTAATTAGCCTTCTGCGGGGCTAGCATAGTCATATCAGCACCCAGTGGGTTCCACCGCCGCGATAAGCTGGCTGGACTTCGAATGGACCCTTCTCCATGCTCCTACTGCAAGTATGCATCTTGGCGATAAACCCTCGGTTCAGGCGCACGCCCACCGGTCAAGTTGTTGGCTCGGATCGGAACGGCTCGGAGATCCGAGGCGGGGCTTATCGGACCACCAGGCCACCTTTGCCAGCCATCCAGACCCCGCCGGTTATCGGTCGAGTGTTGTTAATTTGATAGAAATATTGAACATCATCATCCCGCCCGGCGGACTGCACCCTGCTGATCCGGATCGATCCGGATCGCCCAGTTGGGTGCTGATTTGTTTTTATTTACGCCGAGATTCGTAGCACGGAAAATTAATAGGCACACACACGCTCTGCTTCCCCACATGAAATAATTCGCCAATGTTCGCTGATATTTAATTCCTTTTGGCATGCTAGCCTTATCAGTAGCTTCTGGACTTTGGGAATGTCCGAGGGGGGGTTTTGGTGCGGCTTTAGCACGGATCGAGGGGATTCGGGAGGCGATGAGACAATGGGGCTGGCTTATCGACAGCCGCTCGCGCCATACAAAGTTCACACTGGCAGCCAGAAAATCCGGATTTTTTTCTACTCATTCTCTGGGGGATTTAAGTGCCGGCAAGCGCGGACAAAACATAAAAATTAGGTTGCGCCTGGGGTCCTTCTGTCGGGCGATACGGAGCCCCAAGGCCGCGCTCGGGAAGATTCCGCTGAACTGACCTCGCCATGCGCAACTGTACTTTAGCATTTTTGCGGACTGTGCTCCGATTGTGCCCCCTATCTATTTATAAATCATGATTCGGCATCTGGTCGGGCGATTGGGAACTACGAGCTGGGAAATGGCAATGATCCACCTGTCGCACTGCTGATAGGGGGCAAGGGCTTATCAAAGTCCCTGATGTCATGTTGTCTTTACGTAAGCCCGGGACCCCACTCGTCGGCCCGTGCATTCGGCCGGATTACGTCGGATCGAGATTGGCTGGGTTCTGGCTTTCCTGCTGCTTCTGCAGTGCGAAGGTGGAGCGAAGGTTGCTCTGCTCCGCCAGTGATTCACGGCACCAGACAGCTCCTCCGCCGCCTGATAACGCCGATAGCTAATAGCTGATAAGTGACCCACCACCCAGCAGAGCGCAACTCCGCTTCCCGTCGTGCCATTCGCGTCATGGCGCAGAAAGTTTCGGCCCAAAAGATATGGAGCGGCGGCATGTGTCGGTGTTTGTTGACTCGGCGTGAGATAACCACCTTATCGCCGTCCCAGACGCAGCGCCCACACACTGAGGTGAAATCGGCAGACAAACCCAAGAATGAAACTTAAGGTTCGGGATGGTACGCTTTATAATTTTATCACTTTATCGGGGATAGTAAACTTCCTATACAGCTATACATATAGGAAGTCTACTATTATAAACGAAAAAGACCCATAGTTGGTAATTTAAATTTAAAGAGGCTTTGTACTTTAAAAAGAATGTGATAAACATTTTAGAATGAAACTTTTTCTTGTAAAGTATATGAATTTAGAATTTGGAATTTGATCCCTTCATCAGTTTACCTTACCTTGAGTGTCTGGGGAATTCAATGGCTAATTAGATTCTTAAATCATTTTTAAAAGGGGTAATAGAAGACGATGTAGATAGATTGATGATATAGTTCCTTAATTAAATGTCCATCAATCCTTTCCCTCCATATTTTGATTTAAAAAGGATTACAAATACCATTGATTTAATTATGTAGTCCTTATTAATTTGTGTAACGTCTTATATTAAACCGCCTATATTCTTTTTTAAAAAAATAAACAATTAAACTAATAGAATTTCCTCAAGCTTTGTTTACATAATAAAGCTATTTCTGGAAGTGATGCGATGTGATCTTGTTGGGGACGGGACTGCTTGTTGATTCTAGAACATGCAGTCTTGAATCATGAAAGTTTCTCCATACAATCTAGAAATTGTCCCGTTCTGATCATACAGCTCTTAGTTTTTTCTGAGTGCAAGGCCCCCAGATGTTGACGTACCTGTTCGAGTGAAGGGGTGGCACTCGGATCGGATCGGTTCGGGAGGGGTGGTTTGGCTCGCAGGGTGGGGTTGCAGGGAATTCGCTACGCGGTACGAAGTGCAAGTCAGGCAGACGGCACCGGGCGATAACGCTTGCCCCCCAACGAGCGATCATCGGGCGCACACATGTACATATGTTGGCTGGCTAGCTGGCTGGCTGACTGGCTTTCCACTTGTGCGTTGATAAGCGGGTTCACCCTCCTCCACCCACCCTTCCATCCAGTACGGAGTTTCACTCACGTAGTGTGTGCTTTTGCCCCAGATCCATTTGCCCCAGTGGATTTTTTCCACCGCCTCCGTACGCCACGCACCTGCTCTTCTACGCCCCAGTGTTTTGGTTCCGTCTGCCGCCCGTCCTCCCCCCCTGTCGCCACGCCCCCCCGCCGGACCCGTCTGCAGCCTTCGGGGCTGATAAGCGTTCCCTGTCCGTCTGGGCGACCCCTTATCGCCCGCCGAGTTTCGCATATTACCCGAACGTCTGCAGGCGAGCGGCTCATTCGATCGGCTAGCGCGTTAGCGAAAGCAACTACTAACCACAACCAGCACCTACCCAAAGCCACCATGGATATAGTACAAAAGTCAATCTTCAACAGCGGCCCAGCCAGAGGGATATACGAACCGCCCGTCGGCTACTTCACGCCCTACAACACCCCGCCGTACATCGCAGCCTACTCGGATTCGGGCACTTGGCTGGCGGATCACCACCAGCAGATGCAGCACATCAGGTTCCCCACGCCGCCCATCACCCCACCGCGTCCTGTCGCCGGATACGGATATAGCCAGCGCACCCAGTCCGTGATCATGAAGGCCCACGGCCAGCAGGACGACCTCTGCCGGAGTCCCGTGGAGTTCCAGGAGGAGAGCAAGTCCTGCAGCAGCGGCAGCGAGTGCGGCACCAGCGATTTCGTGTGCAACTGGATCGAATGCGATAGGTAAGAATCGAATTCATTATAAACTACTCAGGGACATTAATCAATCATCAGTTTCCTAATGTTTTTTGAGAGAAAAAAAGCCATATCCTTATCATAGTTTTAAAACCTACCAAAGGAATCTTACTTCAAAAATGATCTCCTACAACTATATTTTTTTTTCAATATTTTGACATTTTTTTATCCAAAAAAACTGAATTTGGAAAGGTCCAATTAGGAATTTACAATGTAGGGATCAGTACAATGGTTTATTTTCAATATCATTTTTCTTTTCAATATTTTAAAATTTTGTTTATCCAAAAAAATTTAGTTTTGAGAGGTCTAATAAGAAATTTATAAAGTAGGGGACAGTACAAGGGATTATTTGTAATAGCTCGACATCAATTATAATAAAAACAGCTCCCTTTTACCATGAGAGCTGATTACGCATTCGACAGAAAAATCCAGCAGCCTGATATTCGTATTCGTTGAACTGTTGGACTGGACTGTCTGATAAACCAAGTTGTATTCACCGCATAGCGATAATAATGTGATTTTGGGTCAAAGTGATGGGGGTAAAATATAATTTATGGCCAGGAAAATGATTTGATTTTGGATACCATTATTACCATCATTTTTCCCCACTAACCCCGAATCTCCTTTGGTCATTGCAGGGTTTTCGACACACTGGAGGCTCTGGCGCAGCACGTGACCCAGCGACATGCGATCGCCTCCCTCACAGACGGACTCTACTACTGCCGCTGGAGGGGATGCCAGCGCAGCGAACGGGGATTCAATGCCCGCTACAAGATGCTCGTCCACACCCGCACCCACACCAAGGAGAAGCCCCACCGCTGCCACCTGTGCGAGAAGTCCTTCTCGCGGGCGGAGAACCTCAAGATCCACATCAGGTCGCACTCCGGCGAGAAGCCGTACAAGTGCAGCTTCGAGGGCTGCCAGAAGGCGTACTCGAACTCCTCGGACCGCTTCAAGCACACCCGCACCCACTCGATGGAGAAGCCGTACATGTGCAAGGTGGCCGGCTGCCAGAAGCGCTACACGGATCCCTCCTCGCTGCGCAAGCACGTGAAGACCTTCAAGCACAGCATCCACCTGATCGCCAGCCAGCCCCTCAGCCTGCCCAGCGCCCCTTGCCTCCTGGAGGCCAGCAGCGAGTCCGCCTTCACATGCCTCCCGGCCGCCGGCAGCGTGGAGTCCACCTGCTCCTCCTCCTCCGCCCGCTACTACGATGACTCCAACAATGAGCCCAGCGACTACTCGCTGAAGCCCAAGCCAGATGCGGAATTCTCGCCCAGCTATTGGCTAAGCGAGAGGCAGCACAGCTACCTCCACAGCGAGGACTTCTTCGTCAAGATGGACGTGGAGTCGCCGCTGGACCTGCGCATCCACAGAATTTGAATTTGAACTGGCCGACCGACCGGTTCGCCTCTCGTCTCTCTTCCCCCGTCTAGTCATTGTGCTGTTTCCCAGCTCTTGTCACTACATCTAGATTATTGTTTAACCTGATTAAAGACTGTTGTATTTGAAGAGCTCTAGTTTGGCATGGGCAGTGCATGGGATTATCAAGGGGACAGAACCTTGGAGAGGGGAAATTCTCCGTTTTATATTAATTCTGGGAATATAAAATGTGTAAGTTCTGATGATTAAGCTGGAGTATATAATATTCTTTGATTTTTAAATTGTATTTTTATAATTAATCAGTTTAATCGTTTCCGAGTTTTCCTTGTCTTCGTTTAAAGAAATTCATTTTCGTATTAAGCGATTATTTGAAACGATTAACGGGCAATGCAAATAATTTTAAAGTTTCATTTCTTGAAATGTTCCTTTAGCGGAGTTATTCATTTTTTAAAAGCAGTCAAAAAGCATGACACTATATTTTTGGATTTGAAATAGAATATAATAATAGGATTAATATTACATATTAGAGCCCTGCATGAATGGATTCAATGAATTATTTTGAATTTTTTGTTTTATATGAATGAATTAATTAGAATTTTGAGTTTAATAGAATTGAATGAATTTCAATTTTGAGTTTAACAGAATTGAATGAATGAATGGCATGAATTCCGAAACAATTCAAACGACAATTTCTTTAGAAGAAGAAAGGGCCATACTTTTGTGATGAAATCTGCCTGAATTTTATTTACTATGCAGTTAACATTTATTTGTTAAAAATTTCTTAAAAGAAAGCACAAAACAAAAACTGGCAAACTCAAAAAATTCATAAAAATTATTCATTTATTTATTCAATTCGAAATGAATTAGAAAAAAATTCAATTTATTTCACATAGAATTGAATTACACAAATCAGAAATTTCATGGCATACTATGATAAAACAAAATTAAATGATTAACGCAGGGCTCTTTTACATATACACATATAATTTACCAAACAATAAAGGATTTTTTAGAAACGGAGAGATCAAAGTATTGGGAAAAGCCCTAGTATCCGTCACTAAACTATCGACCAATTGGAAAGTGCCCCGTGATCCTAATCTTTTGATAACACTTTATGCACCTGGTCGTACCTTTGTTTTGGGGAAAATCCCTATTTTTAATAGCTTGGCCCACAGACCGCTGGATACTTGAAAATATTTATTGTTTAAATGCGCATCTAGACGAGTTTTTCACAACTGTTAATAACAGATTTAATCTTTTTAGCGGCTTATAGGAATGTTAGTTGATCTAGATAACCTCTCGTTTTTATACAAACAACAAGAACAAACAAAATAAATAGCAAAAGTATTTCACATTTGAAATAGATAAATACACTTTGAAAGCGGTATCAGGGTGTTCACTATATATACGCATACATACTGGCAACATACTACACGGTAGAAACGAATATTCAAACTAAGATTATTGTTGCACTCGCGCCGTTTAAGGAAACAAATACGCTGTAGTCCCGCCAACCGGATTTGCTGTACAGCTGCTGTACACCTGGTTGTGCCATTGCATTGCACCATTTCCAGTCACCGTTGGCCGTCTCATTATGCTCTAAAAAATCTTACAACTCGTACAATATATTGTCGGCAAATCGGGCACTCGTTCAGCACTTTTCCGCAGCTCGTGCAGGTGGCCATGTGCCCGCATTCCAGAAACACGCACTCAATGGGCGCGTCCATGCAAATCTTACAGAGCTCGTCCGTGGCCAGTTTCTCAACAGCTGCATAAAAGTCGAGAATTAATAGGGGGAAGTTATGGGATAAAGTGAAAAGCTCACCTGGAGACTCCCGCATGGTTTTCCACAGCCTGCTGACGCGGTCGAGCAGCTCCTGCTTCTCGCAACAGCCTTTGTAGTCGACGCGGTGCAGCATGAGCACCTCCTTCAACTGCTTCACCGTCAAAGCCTCCAAGTCTTTTCTGTAAGCCAAAAGGGGTATTAAATCAGGCTTAGTTGTATGCATAGAATGTAACCCTTACAAATCCTCAAAGTCTTCCAAATTGACGAAACGCGAGTCAATGCCGGCGGCCGGCTCAAAGTCGGAAGGTGCCGCGTACACATGGATGCCCTCGTCATCGTCCCAGCGGATATCATCATCCTGCGTGGGCGAGAACTCTATGGTCGGCGTGATGGGCATGTCCGGTGATCTGCCGCCAGCTGCCACGCTGATCGCGTCCACGCTGAGCGGAGACACTGCATGACTGTCGGCATCGGAGGCCTCCACGGACTTGGTGCGCTGCTCCAGGTACGTGAGGAATTCCTGCAGCTCCCGCTTGATGTCCTCCTCGGACATTTGCGAGTTCTCCAGATGGCGTCGCATCTTCTCCACATGCCGACGGATGTTTGTCTTGTTCTTGCCGCACCGCTGGCAGCTCTGGCGATGGGAGTGCGCATGCAGGCCGTGCTCCGGCTGTTCGCTGAGCGTGGAGAGTCCCAGGCTGAGACCAGGTCCACCTGGCGTCACCGGCGACTCATCATCGCTGGAATGGTAGCGGCGATTCAAGTAGCCATCCGAGCGTCGGCGGGTCACCTTTTTGGTGCGCTGCGGCACGGCGGGATGTAACGCTGGACTTGGGTTGGCCGGACGCTGCTCTATATTTAGGGTTTGAGTGCTCCCATCGCCCATCTGGCTTTCGTCGCCTTCCACCGCCGGTCTGCTGCGCAGCGTGACCTCCAGGATCTCCTCGGCGGCGCTCGTGGTCGGCGTTTCCTCCACCGCATCGATGCGGTTCACCTCTAGCACTTGCCACTGGTCCAGATGACTGCTGTTGGTATCCGTGGTGGCCTTGCTCTCGTCGGAGATGCCACCGATGGCGCCCAGCTCCTCGAAGCTGGACTGCGAGGAGGCGTCCGCCTTGGAGCTGCTCGAGCCCGGCTTGGAGCAGCCCGGACTGGCTGCTGTGGTGGCTCCAGGGCCTCCTCCTCCACTGGGCGCTGCGGGAACACTGACCACCCGAGCGCTGGTATCGGTTTTGAGCGACAACGAAACGCGCTCACTGAACGTGGCCATAATCTCGTCGTCTGAACACTCGCAGTCGTGCTCCTCCGCTCTATCCTCCTCTTCCTCAGGGGCCGCTTGGGCCTGGCTGCTACCGCTGGCATCGCGATTATTCGATGCCTGCGTGGAAGTTGAGGGACTGCTGCTGCTCTGGCTGCTTTGATGGATGTGGACGCGTTGCGGCCCGCCATTTACGGCACTGGCGTAAGTGGGAATCTCGCGAGTGGACACCCGGGGCTGCTCGAAGATGTGGGAGGGCGCTTCCGGCTGCCTGCTCTCCGGCGGCTTTGTGGTGACTTTGGAATCGAACGAGGCTAGCGAATCGCTTATATTGTCGGTCAGGTTGGAGAAGAAGTTTTGGCACGACTGTTTGAGGCTGTCGATGGGGTTGGCCTGGCCACGACCCGGACTGTTGGAGGAGGCGTTCGAGCCACGGCCCCGGTCCACCTGGGCCACATGGGTGAGGACCAGGCCCACCAGCTCCTCTTTCTCTGTGGGTTAGGGAAAAAAGTTAAATCGGAGTCATGGCGAAAGATGTGTGACTCACCTAGACAGCCTTCAGTGGAGATGTGTTTGGACTGCAGATAGAAAATCAGGTCCTTGGGCTTGAGCTTTAATAGATCTGTCCTTAGTAAAGGACGCTGGGCGAACACGGAGCATCGTTGGCAGCGCCTGGACGCAATGCAGTTGGCACAATAGTAGCGTCTATTGGGGATTGAGAGCAAGAGAATCCGGTGATTCCCCGAAATCTGGGATACACATATGTTTGGTTCCGCTACTCACTTGCAGTCGAAGCAAGCGCGCTTGCGACGAAACACCGTGAATTCCACGCCGCAGCTTTCGCAGGGCATCGTGGCCGCTGGACAGTGGGGCAGCTGCTCCTATCGACCGTGTCCTTGCGCTGAATCCTTGCCCTTCCTGGCCACTGCTCCCCTTCCGCTGCTCACGCCCACTGTGCTGGCATTGCATTTGTTTTTCAATGTCAACGCCGTGAATCACTGGATGGCCGCCGCTCGGCACTCGGCTATCGTTCCCGCCTGGCGGGGGTTCGGTCGAGGGTGTGGGGGATCCACTCAGCACTTAATCATAGGCGGCTGGCTGCGTTTGCGATGATTTTTGTAATTTTTTATCAGGCAAAAATAGCAATTGAAGGTACCAGGGCTGCGGTAACTTTATATACGTATCTGCCACGGTTGCACGGATTCGATGTTATCGGTTGGGTCTGCTGATCCGGCTATCGATTAACCTGATGATTGGCGCTCGATTTAAATGCAATCCGCTTAAAATACTATAATTAATCTGAGATACCAGTGGTTATAGTAAATGAAGTTCCTATAATTATTTCACTACCCCCTAATTAACAATCTCAATTATTCCACCATTGCTTTTACTCTTTTTGTTGCTTTTATTTAATTCACATCCACTACTTACAGTTAAGTATGTAATTGTATGCATTTAAATAGTTAAGTGCCATAAAATGTTGCAATCTTGTTTAAAATAATACATCAATTAGTCGCTAAGTATTATAAGGTCTGCCTTCTGCTCCGCCTTCAAGTCGTTTAGTTATATACACATGTGGTTTCCAATGATTGAGCTTTTCCGAAATTCTTGTCGATAAGTCTTTAATTACATAAACAAATGCGTCCGTTGTTGCTCCGGCCAGAATGTTGCCCAGTCCTGGTAACAAGAACTAACTGATGATGGCAGTTGGTGAGTCCGTCTTCCAGCAGCGCCAGCACCGCATCGTTCGTTTTCAGTGGCCACGGGTGTTTTAAGGTTTTCTGTTTCTTTGCTTTCACGCGGGGGAACTTAAGCAGCAGCAGGAGAGAGCGAGTCGTCAGTGAAGGTGAACAAATTTACATTCTTTAATTTCTATTGGCGAGTTGAACGTTGCTTGGCCCTGAAGAGACTGGAGGCTGGTACTACGACACGAGACCCGGATCCTCGGCCTTCACGTGGCTCTGCAGGGGATCGTCGTTGTTGTTGTCATCGTCGTGGATGCCCGACGACACCAGCGCACGGTTCTTCTCGTAGTCCACGAAGTCGTCGAAGAGACTGGGCCACGCTTCGGTGTCGTCGTAATTTTGTATATCACATTGTTCCGTAAAGTTGAGGTACATATTCCATGTATCCTTCGGTATGCGGCGTATATTCGGGTGCTTTTCGAGGAAGTGTATCCAGTTGGAGAAGAGATCAGGTGTTTGTACAGTGAACACTAGTTTCCACAGGTCGATGGCCATCTCGAGCGAGAGGACGCGCTGATCGGGCTCCAGGCCAAAGCTGAAAAGGGGAGTGTTAGTTATATACCGAGATCTAGAGCGCTGAGAAGAGAACTCCCTACCGGAAGGTGAAGCGGTACAACTGCTTGAACATCTCGGCGTCCGCCCTGAGCATCTCTATTGTCTGCTCCAGCCGCACCCGGATGCTGGCTATTGTGTCCGCCCGCATCTTGTGCAGGCCCTCGACGAACTCCGCCTTGGTGAAGCGGCACATCTGCGAGGCATCCAGGCACCAGGCCAGGACGAGTATGGCGAACTCATCGGGCTGATAGTCGAGGTCATTGCACAGTCGCTCGATGCCGTCCGTGAGTATCATGTCCTCGTCGTCGGGATCTTTGTACACATCGAATAGTTTGTTCAGCGTCTGGTGCGAAACCTCCATGGACTCCTTGACGGCTATTTGATTGGACAAAGGTATAAATGAATGACTCTGACGACCTCCGCTGCTGCGCTGACTCACCGGTTGTTATGATATCGCTCATGGTGGGCGCACTGCCATTAAGCAAACCTAAAGACTTAAAACTATTACGCTTAGTATCACAATTGTTTGCTTTTGCTGGCTTGAGTGGAGTTCGGCTGGAGAGCAGTTCATCGGTTTCTATATAAAGAGGGCTATTAGACTTTGAATCTATAATAGCTATGGAATAGTACCCACCTAGGGCGCAGCGCTCGTTGGCATTGGGATTAGTGCCCACCGATTCGTAGCAATTTGCAAGGCCGGTGGCCGTCTGGCAGGCGTTGGAATTGGAATTGTGTGAATTGGGGGACGAGGCGTTCGTTGGCATCGATTGTTCGGCGGCAGACTGGAAGCATTTCAGGCAATTGCCCATAGTGGGTGCTGCAGCTTCGCCTGCTCCTCCTACCAGGAGCGCTCGATGGCTTCCAGTTTTGAGTTGGCTAAGGAGCTAGCTGCTTGTGATTTGTCGAGGGCGTGGATGTGGATGTGTGTATGTGAGGTTTGGTCCTATGGCTCCTTGGGGATTTACTGACTATGCATTGGCACTGCGATTCCCTTCTGCTGGCTGGACATATGGTAAGTGGAGTGGCTTTTCCGATTCCGAATTCGATTCCCAAGTGCGATTCTTTCCGATTCTTTGTTGCCACTGCGATTGCTGTTGTTATTTTGGTGCCTCCTACGCAAACGCACACTCACGCGTATACACATACATGTGCAGGTTGCAACTGCAGCATTTACTGCCACCGAATCGCGCTCGTCTCTCTTTTGCTCGCCGTTTTCATTTACATTTTCAGTTCACCCGTGGTCATATGATGGTTTAACATTAATTTTGTGCAATTTTAAAATGTGATTTATCTCGCTTTTTCACTTGTTTTTTTCTGACGGGCATTCGGACCAGGGCTGCACTAATCGACCAGGGCTGCACTGCCCTCAAGTGGTTGTATTCGATACTTTTTTAGCCTGGCAATGACCTATCGTTGCGTGAGGAAGAGGGAGAGAGAGTCACAGTGGGCCATAAAAGTAGTTAAATTTAAAAATTCTCAGTAGCTGCTAAATAATATCTTACTCTACGAAATTACAAGTATATTTAAAGTAGTTTAGAGTTTACTTTTGGTTTTATTTGATTAGAAATAATTTTAAAGTAAAATAATTTTAAAGTATCTTTTACCAACTCCTCATCGCTAACATTTTCTCGCCCACTGTGCGTAATGTGAGCGCCGAAGTTTGAGCCAAGTTAACAATTTCATTCAACAACATGCAGTCGGAGCGGTAGAAAGTGCTTCCGGGTAACTGCTTTTGGTACGTGCATATTCTAGCGATCGCAAAAGAAAACTTTCGGTTCGGTTGGCTAAAAAGAAAAGTGTCAAGCTGGCCAGTGGGAAAATCGGGATCCTGCTTTTGAAAAGCGGTCTTGAACCGGGACAGTAAACTGGAAGTGAGTGTGTGTATCCGTGGTAAATGGTTGGCTGCCTCGATTTTCGGTTGTTTTGGCTTTTGGGCAATTCAAAAACCAGCCAGCAAGGTTGACTGAACTTGGTAGTTGGTACATAGATATGTAAGCCAAACTCCGTCGTGTGCAGTAAATGGGTAATGTGTTCATGTGTGCGTGTGTGGGCCTGTGATTCTTCGGCCTCGGCTACACTTTTCTTTTTTGGATTATTAATTCACAACGTGTGAACGTTGGTAGGAGCGCTGGGAAAAGGGCAAAATGAAATCTGCTTAACGGATAACTCGAGTCATCTTCGTGCCCAATCTAATTGCCTAACCACGGTAAACAAATAAAAAAATTATGGGAGGTGACGAAAAATGTAGAAAAACAAAAAGAACAAATATTTTCGAAGCATACATATGAATGATCTCCAATCTCCTATGGTTTATTTCTGGGGTAAAGTAAACAGATCTTCAAAAGTAATCTTTTATAATCACTTTTTGATAGATCAGTTATTTTAGTTATACCACTAAGTGCACTATCTGCAAAACAAAAAGAAAATACCTTTTTAAGACAATCGTAGTTCTAGCACTAACAGATAAAAATTAATTTTTGGACCATCAAAATTAAAAAATATGTAAGCTTCGTTTATTCTTCGAAAATTAATAGGTCACAATATCCCTTTTATACATTAGGTGTACATCATTTCGGCCATGGATGACAGTTTCTTGGGTATGTTCGCCATATTTTCAAGGTAGCAGGCCAGCTCATCGACATTTACTTCGTCGGGGTTTTGTATTAAAGATGGTGTTCCATCGTAATAGAGGCCGCCCTCCAAATTTTCGCATTCGCTTATCAGGTTTTTAAAATCGTAGGAATTGGCGGAACCCAAAACCCCTTGAACTGCTGGGACCTGATTAAGCTCTTCCTTAGATATCTCTTTTAAATTTTTCAAGTCAACGGTTTTCCGGAATTCGGAAAGATTTTCACACTCGCTTATCAGGTCCTTAATGTCGTAATCATGGGCAGAAACCTTATTTCTACCCGTGATTTTCACCCAATTATATTCCTCCTCATCCTTCTCGATGCTCACAGTTTTGTGGACCCAATCCAGTCCATTAGCCCGTGTTTTCCCATAGAGACAGTGGATCCGAGGTTTTCGGAGCACGAACTTTTGCTTCATCGGTTGCCTCTTCACTCCTAAATCCTCCATTATGGTTCCATTGAACTTGATTCCTTCGATTGGATGATCTGAAATTTTCAACTTATGCATCTCGAAGGACAACTTCCCGAAAGGCATTTTTACTTTCTATTGTAGCCAAAAAGGGTTGTGTGTCAATGTGTATGGTTCATGTGATCTGAGTATCTTAGATGTGGGATAATAAGGAATGGGAAGTATTATGAAAAGCCTATTCATAGGGTATTGGATTCCTTTCAGATTGATTCGAGAATTTCCATCGCCAGTCTGATTGAAAGATAACGTAGAAGAGAATGTCTTCTGATCGGTTTCACAAGTGAGTACATGTAATTAATTTGGCTCTATCTTATCGCCAATGGAATGCACAAGACTCATTAAATCGCTGAATCTCTACTTTCAGGGCCGCCAAAGATGGGCTATTGGATGTGCTGGCTGCAGCCACCAGAAAGGACACGAATGCCAAGGATAGTGACTCGATGACCCCGGTCATGTGGGCAGCCTTCGAAGGGCGATTGGATGCACTGCGTCTGCTATGCGGTAGAGGGTAGGTAACTGTATTTCTGTGTTCTACCTTTACTGATTTAACCTTTTTTTTTTTCCCATTTCTGTCAGTGGTGACCCCGACAAATGCGATCAGTTTGGGAATACAGCCCTCCATTTGGCCTCTGCCAAAGGTCATTTGCACTGCGTTGACTTTCTGGTCAAATTCGGGGTGAACATCTATGCTCTGGACATCGATAAGCACAGTGCCAAGGATCTGGCGGCTATTAATGGCAGGGACGAGATCCTGCGCTATTTGGATGTGGCCTTTACAAACTTCGAGACAAATGAAAAGTGAGCCTAGTCAACAGATACAGGGTTTGATTTCTTAGTGTAATGTTAACGTTTGTCGTTGAGATAAATTCGGAACCTTGTGATAACTGTGCAGTGTACGCCCAAAAAAAAAGTGATATGAAAAGTAGATCGATTTTACATTATAAATTTTAATTTAATATGTGGCCAGGTAAACTTGACCTGGTCGAGAAGGGTATTTTATGTAAAAACGATAGGGTTTTTAAATGACCAAATCGATTTTACGGGAACACGTTTTTTTGTGTGTAAATTGAAATCACATTAAGAAAACGAATTGGTCCTTCGTGACAATTTAACTTCATGTTAACTTTATCTGAAAGATATGAAACTAGAACCGTAACATGACATTAAGAAATTGGCTATTCCTTCAAGAACTATTTTCTTATATATATGAACTTACTGAACTTTTACCTTTCAGGAAAAAGTCCAAGGCCCTGAAGGAGCTGGCCGAGAAGAACTGCGAGAAGCGTGTGCGGGAGTACATGAAGCGTCAGCAGCAGCAGCGCCAGGATGCCGACTACTCCGACCGCAGTCCGCCCAGTGGAGCCAGTAAGTCCGGGAACATGCTGTCCACACTGAAGCAGAAGATCTGGTCCAGCCAGGGCAACCTGAACAAGCCGCCGCGGGATCCGCCGCCTCAGCCGGGGCCCACGAAGTTCAGCGAACTGGTCGGGAGCGGGAGCAGCAGCAGCGGCGGCTCCACGATAGCCAGTCGAGCGGGAACGGTCCAGAAGCGGCCGTCGCAGCTGCAGAAGCAGCACAGCAGCACGTGTCCGCACTCGAAGATTTCCAGCGACTCGGACGGAGGCTTCAAGGTGCGCGAAGTGGAGCCGGATGGCAAGCGGACCATTACCTCGCTGACGGGCCTACAGCGCGACTCCGAAGTGATGTATGTGGGCACCTTTAGTTCCAATGAGGAGAGCATTGGCAAGCGCGGCAAGATCACCGATGTTTTTGAGTGCCTCGAGGGCGATGAGACGGATCACAATGACAACCGCAGTGGCTATAGTTCGGCCTTGGCGCGTTCCTTCTCCCAACCGGATATTCTGGGAGAAAGCCAGTTAACCCAGGAACTAAGCGAGGAAGTGACCCTCCAGAGACCCGTGGGCCTCTTCGACAGACCCACCATGCTGGGCAGCATAGCCTTCCGTCGCTCCGTGACTGCTGCCTTGAGCCAGCTGCAATTGCACACGGACACCAGTTCCACATCCACGATGCGGAATACGGGCAGCAGTGCCCCAGAAGTCGCGAAATGGTGGTGGAAAGGGTCGTTTGTATCTGAACCTGTCGGATGACACGGATTCCGAGGGCGGTGGTCACGACATATACAGCGACGATGACGACGACGATCGAGAGGCTGCCGGTAGTGCCCTGCAAAGATTTCTGGCCGTTTGGGCCCTGGAGGAATACCTGCCAGTGTGAGTAATCTTGATTTACTCTCTTAGCAAGAAGACCTATAGGTAAATCTTCCTTTTCCCTGGCAGATTTGAAAAGCAAGAGATCGACCTGGAAACCCTGATGCTGCTCACGGAGTCGGACCTCAAGTCGCTCGGCCTGCCGCTGGGTCCCTTTCGAAAGCTCACCTTCGCCATCCAGGAGAGACGCAACGCATTGGCCAATCCCGGTCCCCTGGTAGACAGTCGACTGTAGTTTTTGGCCTACATATTTATTCTACTTTTTCGTAATACTTTAACACGTTCTATTAGCCTAATGTATATACTAAATTAAAGCCTAAAGATTATCACTCCAGTGTGCTGTGTTAGCCCGCTACCTGTTGCATCAGGTAGAGATTGGCGTAGATTTTGTTGAGGGCCATCAGCTCGTCGTGGGTGCCGTGCTCCACAACCACGCCGCGTTTCAGCACGCAGATGAGATCCGCATTCCGCACGGTGGTCAGACGATGGGCTATCGTCAGGCAGGTGCGACCGGATCGCGCCTCATCCAGCGCCTGCTGCACCACCTTCTCGCTCTCCAAATCGAGAGCAGAGGTGGCCTCGTCGAGGATAAGGATCTTCGGGTTCCTGACCAGCGCCCGAGCGATGGCGATGCGCTGCTTCTGACCGCCCGAAAGCTGCGAGCTCTTGCCCAACCGAGTGTCGTATCCCTGGGGCAGGGCACTGATGAAGTTGTGGATATTGGACTTCTTGGCCGCCTCAATGATCTCCTGCATGGACACATCGTCGCGGAAGTTGTTGCCATAGGCTATGTTCTCGGCAATGGTGCGATCGAAGAGCACAGGTTCCTGGGACACCAGACCGAGCTTGGAGCGCAGGGTGTCCAGCGGGAAGTCCGTGCTGGGCACTTCGCTCAGATTCACGGATCCCGAGACGGGATCGTAGTAGCGGAGCAGCAGTTGCACACAGGTGGACTTGCCGGAGCCAGAAGGACCCACCAGAGCCACCGTCGTCGACTTCTTGATGGTGAGATTGAGGCCTTCGAGAATGGGAGTGCCCTTCCTCGTGGGATACTCGAAGCCCACATTTTCGTAGACAATGTCTCCCTCGGATTTCTATAAAAACAAGCGCATAACCTCAGATTAACCTTTATAATAGAATTAGAGTGTAGACCCACCTCAACTGTGTTGTAGGGACTCTGTGGCGGATTGGGCTGCATGGAGGTGCGCTTGAAGAGATCCATAAGGCGACCGGCGGATAGAATAGCATCGTTTACATTGGGGGCATAGGCCAAGGCCTGTCCCAACATCCAGGAGCCGAAGATCAGAGCCTCGGCCACCTTGATGATATCCTCATAGTCCATTCGGTCCTCTGCCACCAGAATACCACCGTAGTACATGGAGATGCCGTAGGCCAGGAAGGGAGCCGCCTGACCCAGAGCAAAAACCAGGCCACGGAAGCGAACCTTGCGCCTGCAGGCGACATCCACACGATCGATCTGCTGGACGTACTGATCCAAGACCTGACGCTCCAGGCAGAGACCATTGACCGTTCGGATGTTGGTAATAGCTTCGACGGCTACCTGGGAAGCCTCCTCAACGGCTGCCTTAGCCTTCTGGGCGCTCTTCATGATGAAGCGACCCTCGAGGTAGACGGACAAGCAGACCAACGGGAGGGTGACCAGGGTGAGGAGGGTCTGTTGCCAGGAGAAGACGAAACCGACAACCATTCCGACTACTAGAGTGGCCACAGCCTGAAGCATGGTGCCCACACGAGCTCCAGTTGCCTGAAAATATAAAAAAATTAATTATTAGATTTACAAAACCCACTGTTTCTTTGAAAATCTTTCCTGAGGTGTCTAAAAGTATGCTACAATATATTTTGAATTGGATTAAAGTAACACATTTTCCACTGTACTTTTAGGGCCGTTTTTTTGTCCGTTTGTTAAATTTAAAATAGGATTAAAACCTTCGAGAGTTTAAAGCTTCCTTTAAATTTAACAGACACACGAGAAAACGGCCTTTAGATGCTTTTAAAAATGATTTTAATAATATGTTATCATTTTCATGCGATTTTCTAAACTTCGTAACTTACCCCCTGAACGTTGGAGCAATCACTGGCCAGCCGAGAGCACAGGGCTCCCACCGAATTCCGCTCATCATCGAAGTACGCAATATCCTGACCCACGATCGTTCCAAAGGCCCGTTTGCGCAGGCGCGTTGTCATTTTCACGCCGGCCGTTGTGAACATGTAGGTCTGCAGCATGTTGCCCAGTCCGGCCATCAAGCCAATGCCAACGAAGATCATGGAGATTTTCAGGACCTCGGAGCGCACCACATCATCGTCGCCGTTCGAAAGGATTCCAAAGAAGTCGCCGAAGAAGAGACCCCAAAGCGGGAAGGTGGCGCCATGCATCACGGAGGCGATGCCGCCCACCACAATGAAGCGCCATTCCGGAGCATTCAGTTTCATTAGCTGTGTGAAGGACACTTTGGAAACCACTTCCTTATCCTTCTTCTTCTTGATGCGACGCTGCGAACGACCTGTAAATGTAATGGGTTCTTTTATTTATAGTTATTGTAATGGTATTGTGTTCTGTTGTCTATGATACCTATAAAACTTTGAAACATTTACAAAAAAATATTATCCAAACTTAAAGCATACTTGAATTGTATGATTCTTTAAATGTAATCACTGTCTTTCGATATGTATAAGAAATGCTTATTGAAGAGTGTTACGTGAAACTCAATTCACTTTCACCCATGGTAAAAAGATGTAATCACTGGATTAAAGATAACTAGTTATACCTATCTATATTATGATTTTGTTTAAGGAAAATGTAATCAAGATTAAGAATTTTAAGCTTGTAAAATAATTATATCTAACTATATTATGATTTTGTTTATGGAAAATGTAATCAAGAAAAATAATTTTAAGCTTATAAACTAAACTCCACTCTATATGCTCCACTTTTAAAGGCGACTTCCGGTATAGACTAACAAAGTTCCAAAGTTTTTACAAACTAATCCGCTTTATTACAAAGCCAAGAACATTGATCTTTTATCTGACTTGTGGTACTTACGCTTGCGTCGCGTGCTGGCTCTGAACCCGCTGTCCCTGGAGCTGCCCGAAGTCTGCAGCTCCGGCTCCTCGTCCTCCTCCTCATCCTCCTCCTCATCGTCGTCCGACTCCTCGTCAGACAGGTTCTGCGACTTTTGCAGAGGTCGCCCAACCACCGCCCCCTCGTCCGCCTCGGTGGCCTCCTTGCGCTGGGTGATATTTACCAGTTCGCAGTAGAGACCCCTGCGCTCCATCAGCTCCTCGTGGGTGCCCTGCTCGGCCACCACGCCGTCCTTGAGGAAGACGATCTTGTCGGCATTCGTGATGGTGGACAGGCGATGGGCCACCACCAGAGTGGTGGGTCCTTGGCTGGCCAGCTCCAGGGCACTCTGCACTCGCTTCTCGGATGTGGGATCCAGCGCGGAGGTGGCCTCGTCCAGGAGCAGCACTTGTGGCTGTCGCACCAAGGCCCTGGCAATGGCTATCCTCTGCTTCTGGCCCCCCGAGATCTGGGCGCCCTTCTCGCCCACCTGGGTGTCGTAGCCCTTGGGCAGCCGAGTGATGAAGTCGTGACAGTTGGCCGCTCGCGCCGCCTTCTCAATGTCCGTCTGGGTGGCCGATGGTCTTCCGTATCGGATGTTCTCGCCAATGGTGGTGGCGAAGAGAACCGGTTCCTGGCCCACCACTCCGATCTGCGATCGCAGCCAGCCCACATTCAAGGTGCGCAGATCCCGTCCGTCCAGTTTGACGCTGCCCGCCTCGGGGTCATAGAACCGCTGCATCAGCTGGATGAGCGTGCTCTTGCCACACCCAGAAGCGCCCACAAAGGCCACCGTCTGGCCCGGAAGCACGTCGACGGTGAGGCCCTTGAGGATCTCCACATCCGGGCGAGCGGGATAGCGGAAGTGGATGCCCTCGAAGCGAATGCGTCCCGAGGTGTTTTCCGGCCTGCTTCCCTTCTCGTCCATGGGATCCACCTGCGACGGCCGGTCGATGATGTTGAACAGCGTCTGTCCGGCGGCCGTGGCCACGGCTATAGCCTCTACATGTGGCGAGGCGAAGCCCAGATTCTGGGCACCCATGATCACGGCGAAGAGGACAATGACCAAAACGGCTGGGGTGTAGACGCGATCGGGCAGATCACGCTCGTCCAGGATCAGGGTCACGCCATACCAGATGGCCAGGGCCATGCAGAGGTAGATGATCAGCCAGGAGAGGGCGTTGCCCATGCCCGAGTAGAGACCCTTCTTGCGGCCCGTCTTCTCGGCCGGAATGAGTAGCTTGCCGAAGCGAGCGTTCTCCTTCTCCTGGCCACTGAAAGCGAACACGGTGCGAATGCCACTGAAGACCTCCTCGGCCACGTTGGCCGCATCCGAGTAGGATTTCAGCTCCTTCTCCGCCAGCGATCCCTGGAGGCGGGCCACCACACTGGTGGCTGCGATGATGAAGGGAACACAGCTGAGAACGACCAGGGTGAGCTTCCAGCCGTAGACGAAGGCGGACACGATGCCAATCACAAAGGTCATGATCAGGAAGATCACAATCACCACCTTCTCGCCAATGCCCTCCTTGAGTTTGTCCAGGTCTCTGGGGGGAAATATTAAGAAAATGTTTTAGAAATCGAAAATAAGATAAAACACTTAATAGGTAAATTTAAAATTATTATGCCTCATTTTTTTAGAATTATTCTTATTGGAAAAAAGCTAAACATGAATATTGGAATCTCTCACAACGAAATCAATAATGGCATGGAATAATTAGTTGTTCTAAATATTCCCAAGAGCCATCCCAAAAATTGTGTAATCACAATCTAGCTCTACTATTAAACACCAGTTGATTGTAATAAATTAGAATGCTAATATGATTGGGTCATTTTATAATTAGCTACTGAATATTCAAGTGATACAACTTCTGATTGATTGTATAATAATAATAATATAATTAGCATCATTTGCATAAAGTAGTGGGAAAGAAAACTCACTCCGTCATTTTACTGGCGAAATTGGAGCCCGAACTGGTGTCGTACCAGGCGATGTCCTGTCGCAGCATGGCCTCCAGGAAGAGCTTTCGGATGCGATCGATCTGGTTGAGGGCTATCCTATTGGCCAGGTCGATGGCAATGGTGATGAGCAGAAACATGGCCACGGAGCCCACAAGACTGCCGATTCCGAAGGCTGTCGCGTCATCGATGATGGCCTGTTTGTTCTCCTCCTCACTGGCATTTGTTCTGCATAATAGATAAAGTATTCTAAAAAAATCCTTTGGGTAATCACTGTTTTTTAAGGACTCACAATTGCTTGCCGCCACCGAACATTGTGAGGGCAAAGGAGGGCGACGATGTGCCCACGCCCACTGTGCGGTCCACGAGCAGGGATGTGAATTCTCCATAGATGATCATGAAGTAGGGAATGAAAACGGAGGCACCTGTGGCCACCAGTAGACTGAATACGAACAGGCAGCGTTCACATGTGGTTGAGTATCTGAACTATATGGCCGGGATAAAAAAAGGATATAGAATATTCGTATGCAGAATCAGGTAGTGATTACTACTTACCAGATCGAAGTAACTGTACTTTCGGGTTGTGCTCTCGCCAAGGACTGATCCTTCCTTTGCCTGGAAGTCACCAGCCTGTGGCAACTGTGAGTCCTCCTTTTTCGTCATTGTCTTTCGCAGAGACACTATATTGAAGTAGCTTTATAATCGCTATAGCAATAAAGCCTAAGAACAAAGTAAGCAATCAGTAAACAACACTTTGCTCTGGCCTGATATCGTTGGTTTGAATGGGGCTATATAATTTAGAGTCTGTCAATTAAAGAATTCAGCCACAAGAAAAGTTTACACACCCAGTTGTTTGGGGGTTTTATCTACCAAATCAGTTATAAAAGTCGAAATACTATCTTAAATTATAATCCACGCGACAGAGTTCATCGCACTAAGGGCGAAAATATTATCTCTGGAAAGTTACTTAGTAGTAAAATAATACACGCTCCCTAGATTATCCTAGTAACTGAGATTCCGTATAGCACACATTTTTTTTTTCACACTAATTGCTTGTTATTATAATTCCAGTTGGATTGCACTGTTGGATTTTGCATAATTTGTTGCACTTAATCAAATGGAAATGAATGTATCTAAGCATCTTGGAAATACTTAGTTAATATGCCATTAAACTAAGCAGAGCAGTTAGATGTGCCACCATTTATCACGCTTAAGTGTGTGATAATTAATGTATCTTTAGGTATTACATAAAATATTGTAGAAATTATTAGACGCGGAGCAAAGGGCTGATTAATCAGCGAAAACAATTTTCCCAAGTCAATTTAAGGAAATTAGTTCGATTGCGCGAATGAAAAAGCGTCCATAAATTAATAAATTAGCCGCAATTGGAAAGCGAGATATTTTTTTATTTATTGCGATTGTCAATTGTGAACGGCATGCACTCGAGATCCAAGGAAGTGGGTAATGCCCGCTCCTCAGCTGCACTTGGAAACTCTTCGATCTAATCTGATTCACTTGCTGGAGGAACACTACTCATCCGAAGTACTCGGAATCGAAACTCAATTAAAGTTCGCTTGTTATTAGACACTTACTTAGCACGTGCCGATCAAGACCCAAGGAATTAATTAAAATACTGATAGAACTCGCGATCGGGTAAAGAATCTGAATTCTTGGCCTTTTAGCACTGGGCAGTGCAAGAGACGTCTGAAGCCGACGAGTGCGCGATCTGAACTGGACAACCATCCACTCGACTGGTTGCGACGACAGCTCGGTCTCAGAATCTCGGGCCTCGGGCCGGCCATAAACCCGATCGTATAACTAATCGGGATTCCCGCTGGCAACCGCCTGCCACTCGGCCGCCGAACGGACAATACTGGTTCCTGGCCCTATCCTGTAACCAAAAACAGAAGAGCATTATACCTGCCATAATAGCCAATGCAGATTAGATATCGCATCGATTCGGCGCTACGCTCGGCTGTTATCAGCCGCATAACCGGTATTGGTTTAGACTTACCCGCATCTATAGAGGCCGAGGAGTCGGGCTTAAGCCAAAACAAGATAAATCATACCGAGCGATATCCATTTGCGCGCATGGTTTTCCCCTCTTGGAGGTTTTTAAGCCGAAACCGTAAGATCGGGGGACTAACCGAGAAGAAATCTGTATCTGTATCGCGTGCGAAAGTCGTGATTCATCCCGCCGCTCAGGTGTGCTGTGAATTACCTGGCTGCTTAAGCGTGGTAGCGGCATTCTCACGTTTCCCAGCGACTTCCCCAATCCAAATATACACTTCCAATGCGTAATATTTCACCATACTGTAAACGGCAAAGTGATTAGGCAAAACTGAAAACTTTCCTAAGGGACCTCTTCTCCCAATCTTATCGGCACTTGTAAGTACTCTTATTGGCCATAACCACAACCAAATAAAATATATATGTGCTTCTATCAAACAACAAACACATCCAGTGATGTGTTTTTTAGCAAGTCAGATAAGTCGAATTGTGGCCAATTTAGACAAGGTTTTTCGAATAGATAATTGCGCCGAGGTCTGATGTTTTCGACTATTTGCCATCAGCTGGTGAAATAATTGTGCTGGCACTTGAAATGTACACCATAAAAATGTTCTCTTGGTTACGGACCTAGTTCAATTCGGTTAGGTTATCTCAAACGAGCCAAATTGGGATTCTAAAAACTCGTGCATATTTATAGACGTGGGAAGTAATTCGGGCGGGGTTATATATCAAGTAAAGGCGAAAGTTTTTTTATGCACTCACTTGCAAACTGATTACTTGTTAATCTGACTTTTGGCTTTGTTTTTTCCAAACCATTTATATTTAATGCGTTCCAATTTATTCATATCAGCAATGCATTTTCGTCTCGCAAGATCTGTAATAATTTTTTTCTTTTAATCGTTTTGGAACTGATAATGCCAAAAAAAACAAACATCTTAGGTACCAAAAGAATATTTTAAGTATTTCTTGATATTTTGTAAATATGACCACTAGAAATAAAGAGGTTGCCATCACCTAATTTAAATTTTCCAACCATTTTTGATTCTAATCTGACTTAAAAATAATAACTTAATAAGGAAAAAACGATTTGATAGGTAGAAGACTTTTTTGAATTTTACTTTTTTTTATTTATTTATATTTTTTTTTATTTATTTATATTTTTTTTAATTTTACTTGTATTTTCCAGCTTAAAAAATCGTATTATATTTCCTGTTCTGTTGTGCCAGTGTATTTTCGAAAAACAAATCGTGACGCCGTTGGTCATATTTACTCTTACCTGCTCTCTCTTTTTCTCCCTTCTCTTCCATCTTGTGTTGACGTTGAAAAAAAAACCAGAATCGGTTTAAAGAAATCTCGTGTTGACCAATAACGGGTAGTTGTGGGAAATGCCAGTCTTGTCTAATCATAAACCGCATATGGGTTCAAGGAAGTTTTAAACACATGTAGTTCTTTGCTGGAAATACAGCGTTTTTAATTCCGCACATTAAACTACCTTTTATATTCTACGTGATACAATTTTATTTTGACCTTAAGCTTCCGTACCGGCAAATCGGTTACTCAACATCTACTAATTGTGATTTAGGGGGTAAAGCGGAAGAAATCTGGGCTTTATGGTTTAGCTTATTAGATTTGGACATATTCAACATAATTGTTTTATTGTGACTTCAAAGAGTCTTTGTAAAGTTGACAAAGAAGGCGCGAGAGTACCAATGGTTTAAATAGTAATGTGGCGATAATAGAGCCGTCTACTACTAAATCGATAACCAATTTTAATATAGGGTTGTCAATTTTTAAAAGGATGTATTACTGTATTAAAATATATAATTTAATAAAAACGCGATTTATAGCCAACTTTACTTTATTGTTTGCCACTTTTAATTTATGTAAATTTATAAATTTTTTAGAGTTTATTAAGGAGTTTATTTTAACCAACTTCATTTTATAGATTAGGTAGCTTTTTTATATGCATGATAGTGCCTATATTAGAACATTTTTAACAGCCGTGATTTATTAGGTCAGATCACAGATAAAACTTTTTTAAGCCCAACCCAAAACAAATAATAACACCTTAACGCAAGTCATTTAATAAATAACAAACTTAGAACAGAACGTAATAATTACCGTTAAACAAGTTTAAAAATGAATATAGTACACGTATACTGTGAAAAAAATATGTAACAAGTGCATAAGTATAGGTTCATAATAATAAATAGATTTATTTAATAAACAAGTTTACGATGGACATGTTTTGGTTTTGGTTAAGTACTTTGGTATTTCAGAGGTAGCTGTACGTGGAGAGCTTCAATATTTTTAAAGATAAAACTAATATATGTATATAGCATTTAAAATGGCATAGTATACAATTAAAATAGGTAAACTTGTAAATCATATAATATTTTACAAAGATATGCATAGTTAGTTTGGTCGACTTTAGCTGCCTTCGGATTTTTGTATTTGTATTTTATTATTTCGTGTCAATCAAGATTGTAATGGGTTGTTTTCAATAAACCAATCGGATGGCCTGCTGTCCGTGGAAGATGTCGCTCCTTACGAGGACTTCGTAGCTGCTCAGCCGGATCTCCTGCCCTCCGAATGGAATCTGTAGGCATCGGTTGTAGGTCTCAATCACGCCGGGCGTCAGACTTCCGCAGTAGTGACCCCGTCCAATGTAAAGTGGTTCTCCGCCCGGTGTCCTTCCGGCCACAACGGCTCCGGGTGGCACATTTCCGCCATACGAAGGCACCCAGTGGTATTTGCCCCTGCCCACCAGCATCTGATACGAGGGCTCGACGATCTCGCGACCTCCGTGGGCTATGTAGGCACATCCCTGGCTGGGTATCGCCTTTCCGGGCACATGGACACCCCGGTAATAGGCTCGGCACACCAGGAGCTGCGCCATGTTGCTGTCGTGACCTCCAATCACGGCATCGGGGGAGTGATAATAGCCCGGTTCGGCGGATATCCAAACGTCGTAGTTGTTGCCATAGCCATAGGCATCGTAGGCCGAAGGAGGCGCACATTCAGCCGGCGTATAGGAGGAGCATCCTGCCTCGTAGGGATTATAGGTGGAGGCGGGTGTAAACGATGGTCCCACGGGAACGGAAACGGCGGTGACCTCTGCGGCAACAAATGTTGGTGGTGGCGCCACGGAGACCTCTGCGGGGGTGAAGGATGCAGGAGGTGGAGGCGGAGGTGGCATCACGAGGACTCCTCCAGCAGGCGGTGGATTCGGGGGACGAGGCATCACCATCACACCGCCAACAGGAGGCAGTGGATCCGGAGTGGGCGTATAGGCCGGTGGCCTGTCGGTCAAGGGAAAAGGCATGGCAACCAGATCCGGATAAGGATACGGCTTGGCGGAGAGGGGAGGAGCCATGGCCACAGCCACCGCCGGTGGAGAAGGTGGTGGCGGTGGGGTGAGCGGACACTTTTCCACCTCCTCCAGTGGCGGTGGTGGGGGCAGCTGCCAACCCGGAACCACTCGACGCTCCTCCACCAGAATCTCGTAGGAATCCAAGCGGCGTTCGGCACCACGGTAAGCAATGAACAGAGCTCGATGCACGGAGGAGATCTTGCCGATGATCAGATGGCCCTCGTAATGGCCACGACCTATGTACACCGGCTGATCCAGCGAAGTGCGGCCACAGAGCACCGCATTCTCGGGAATCACATGATCGTAGCACTTGATCCACACCAGATTCTGGCCGCACAGCACCTCGAAGATGTCCTTGGGCAGGGCCTCGCCGCGCTGCGAAATGAATCCCAGCTGCTTGCTAGGCACCACCTTGCAGACCAGCATGTCGCCCTCGTGCTCCGCCCTGCCCACGTAAATCATGGCGCCGTCCTCATCGTTGCCGCCCACCACCGCCTCCTCGGGAAGGGAGGAGTAGGCCGAAGATTGCACCCACTTGTAGGCTGCAAAAAGGGAAATGGAGTGAATTAGATTAAATTAAAGTAAAGGTCAATGGAACTACATAGCAAAAATAAGATAAATATATGGGTAAATATATACGCCATTTAATTTTAGTGTATACCATTAAAATGATATTTTAGAGCCTTAATTGCCTAGGCAAATATACTAACTTATACTTATATTAAATTTTTGAAAATCATATATTAATTATTGCAAAAAATATAAAATTCTAATAGTTCTAAGTTTTATAAATGTTATGAAGAAAAAACCATAATATTAATGTGAAAAAAATATTAAATTAGAAGTAATAACATGAAAGGGATACCATAAGGAAATGGCATTAATTGCAAACCATCTAATCTTATCTCATAAATTTAGTAAAATCCAAGGCAATCAGTAGTAAGATAATTTACAGAGTGTAATATACCAATCAATAAACATATTTGAAGGTTTAGATTGCACTCTTAAGAATTGACAAACAACATAATTGCACACCTACGACTTCCAGTTATTTTAAGTACTTAAATATTTAGTTGGCACTTCGATAGACTTGGCATACATAGTTAGGACTAAGAAAGGTAAACGGATTTCTTGGGTGTTAACAGTCAGTTTATTGGGTGCGATTACAGTTTGATCTGGGCTAAATGCATATGGTATTTATGGGGTTCCAATGGGTGCAGAGCTTATTGCCTGCAGAGGACCTCGTACGAGTTGATGCGGATCTCCCGACCGCCGTAGGGGATGTACAGGCATCGCTGGCTGGCCGAGATCAGGCCGGGAGTAAGGCTTCCCTGGTAGTGTCCTCGTCCGTAGTACAGGGGCTCCCCGTTGCGGGCACGACCCGTGGAGACGGCGTTATGTGGGATGTGATGGCCGGCATGGGCCCAGACATATCCGCAGCCGGTGAGCACCTCGTAGCTGGGCTTCTGGAACTCGTAGCCCCCGAAGCAGACGTAGGCGGTTCCCTTGCTGGGCACCACCTTGGCGGGCAGCATCTCGCCCTCGTGCATCGCCCTTCCCGCGTAGATGGGAGTGCGGTCCGAATCATGGCCAGCGATCACTGCTCCCGGGGGCGTGTAACTGGGCGAGGCAGCCACCCAATTGTCATACTGCTGCTTGATGAGCACCTCGTAGGTATTAATGCGCACCTCCTGGCCGCCAAATGGCACATACAGGCAACCGTGCGAGGGATGAACTTTGCCCACGGTCAAGCTGCCCGCATGATGTCCGCGTCCCACGTAGAGGGGCTCTCCTGTACGGGTCGTTCCGCTCCTCACCGCATTCGGCGGCACTCCACCACTGGCACTGGGCACCCAGGCGAATCCCTGGCCCACCAGCACCTCGTAGTGGGTCTTCTGGTGCTCCGCACCGCCGTAGGCCACGTAGGCGCAGCCCTTGCTCGGAATGACCTTGGCCGGCAGGTTCTCGCCCTCGTGAAAGGATCGACCCACATAGATGGGCGTGCGGTCCGAGTCGTGGCCACCGATCACCGCGTAAGGGGGCAGGGGGGCGTGGGGAGACGAGTGCACCCAGGTGTTTTCTGCAAGGAGAGAGGCGGTAAGGCGATAAGCTTGGCACCACGCGATAAGATAACCTGTCCCTACACAGAGAGAAAACGGCGAGTACAGTCGAAAAAGGTTTCGGGTTCGATAATTGAAAATTATATTTTATGAATAATTTAAGATTTTTGAATTACTTTCTCTTTATAAATCCAACATTCCTTTGTTGTATGATATATTTTAAAATCATAATAATAATGACTGCAGGAATTTACATTTCTTTGTTTACAACAAAAGCTAAACATTTACCATCATAATATACTTCAAAGATAAAAAGTACATATTTGAGATTAAATTACCAGATAAAATTGAAATGATTCATTCGAACTCATACTCTGCCGGCTTTTTCTCTGTGTAGATATTTGGTTGGCTGTTCGATTTTTCTGGGTTTTCGAGGTCTTGGGCGGGGATCAAGTGGGATTTGGGGGTTTACAGAGGCGTAGGGTTTCACCCTGGGCTCACTGCACTCGTCCTACCAACGGTCACAATTCCTCCTGGCTGCACGCTGCCTGGAAGAGTGCAAAGAAAGGCGGAGAACCTTAAAAGTCACTCAATGCTCTTTGCAGGGATGGGGGGTTTTCGGTGGTTAATTGGCACAGAGTAAAAAAAAATGCCACCACGATTGATCAGCAATTGCAATTTTGTTCGCCCGTAAAAGGGTTTTATCTGCGACGCAAAATTACGAAATACTTGAATAATATTCTTATCGCATCGTATCGTATTTTATATGATTTGCATTACTTTTATATTTAAAATATTTTATAATTTTCAAATTCTTAAAAGTTTAATCAAAATGGTTTAGAAATCTTTCTATGCTTCACAAACACGTAAATTGCTTCGATTTAGTCTCAGACTAACACTATTTTTTAGAAATTTTGAGAGATTTTTTTTTGTAACTTTCACCGGTGACTCATCCGACTTACCCATTGTGTGTAATTGATAAGGGGTTATTCCTCCTGCTAAATTGTATCTCAAATATATTCGCCTTTTTATTCCTCCGCGAAACGTCTGCACAGACTGAGGTTTGCTTTTTCACTAAAACGTTGGATCGCAGTAGCCTGGCGTTTAAAAACAGAACCCAACCGATTCGTCACCACCCCTTATCGGTGAGCTTTTATCTATCAATTCGTATTTGTATGGCAAAACAGTGCAATTGATATTGGGTATTTGATATCTCTATTTTGACTTCCAGTCTGGAAAGCTCCAAGTCCAGAAAAGCATTCCCTTTATCGATCGAGAATGAATCATTACCACAAGCAGGCGGTACTTTTTGAGGCAAGGAAAGCGAAACATGTGGACATTGTTACAGTGCATTTTGTTGTTGGCACTCAACAGGTGGAACCCCAATTGAACGAACCCATAAACAATATGACGACTGCCAGAAGCGCCGATGTTGAAAAATCCCCCCGTTGAAGTGCCGATAAGGGGCACCCGAAAATATCAACACCAAATGATTTTAGGAAAGTCTTCCATGATCAAAGGATTCTGATAAAGGATTAGTTTTATTTTTCACACATGGTATATCAATATAAAAATCTTTTATTAGTTACTAATAAAAACTTAATGGAAATTAAGAAGATTTTCGCTAGTTTTTCATAATCCTTCTCAAGATTTAGATGCTTTTGAATGGCTTACCGTGCTTTTGTTGTCTTTGTGTGGAATTTAACTTTTCCAATTTATCTCTTCTTTGCATTAAAGGGCGATAACCTCCTTACAATACTCATTAAATTAATTAAGTATAGCTCTCTTTTGTTGGATACATCAGTTACAAACTATATATAAATCTGACTCATCTTGGCGATTGGGTTTGTAATATCAATACATATCTTTGGCAATTGACTCATTTCCCAAGTAAAAGGAGTGTCTGCTTTGCTATAGCAAATGGATATTAATGTATTCAAAGCCTGCTGAAGTTGTATCCGTATTTCTTAGTTTCATAATCCAAATTTTTCTCAGTAACTCTTCAAATGCAGGGACTTATTTTTGTTCTAGAAGTAAATTCCTTAACTTTGAAGTTGATCCATGGACAGCAACATACGTGTACATATACTTTTTTACGAACTTATTGATCAAGTTTATTTTTGACTGCCGGCGATAAGATTCGTAGGCAACTGCTTATAGATAAAACCGGCAGAGTGTACACAAAAGCACCAACATATATGTATAAGATCGATTGAGTAATTGTCGTTGCCCTTCCTGTTCAACACGAAATTTAAATTGTTTTGGCCAGGCTAAATCAACGAACAGACAATCTGACACACCTGTCAGTTGGTCGCAATGACGAACACCCCCCTAAAATACGAGGATCCCTTTGGAAAGCACATATATACTTACAGTGTGACTAAGATATCTTATCGATGTCGGTTAGCATTGCCTACTGATAAGACGGCACAACAGCTTTTAAAGCGCTGCGCGTTGTGCAGCCAGAGAACAGTCGTTAAAGTCAGTCCGAACCAAGCGGAGCCGGCTAGTATATATCATTCGTTCCAGACCTAAATCAACACACACGAAAAAAAACAACATGGGAGGTGAGAAACCAAGTGAAAAGTAGTTAGTGACTAAGATTATTCCTGCGAAAAAAACACAGTGCCATAATTAGCCATGACAAGTGGCCAAAGTGTCATCGATACTCCGCTCACCTGACAGCCCAAATCCCTTGGAGCTTTGGAAGCTTTCCATAGATCCGCCGATTTCACACCCGGCCAGATAAGGAAATAGACAGAGTGTTTCTGATTAGTGTGGGGTACAGTTGGGCCTCGTAGTTGGGCTAACTTATCGTTTCGTATCTGACCTTGTTCCAAATATTCTTGCCCACAGACTACACCTGGATCAGCACCAACGCCTACGGAGCCCTGCCACCTGGCGCCATCCTGGCTGGCCACGATTCCGACCAGGATCCCATCTACGTGGGTCGTGCCTACCACAATGGCGAGATGCTGCCGGCGAAGGTGGTGCCCGGCAAGCAGCAGGCCTACGTTCCCTGGGGCGGCGAGGAGATCAGCAAGCACGACTTCGAGGTCCTCGTCGGCGACCACTACTCCTGGATCCCGGCCAGCGGTGGCTTCGTCCCGCCCCATGCCATTCGTGTGGGCCAGACCGGCGACGGCGAGGCCCTGTACGTGGGTCGCGGCTATTTCCAGGGCAGCCTCACGCCCGGCAAGGTGCACCCCTCGCACCAGTGCCTGTACATCCCCTACGGCGGCCAGGAGGTAAGTTCAACCCTTACATTCAATTTAATATAGATATTTTCGCTTAGATTTGAGTCCATTCATTTAAATCAGTGCTGGCCAGCAGAAGCAGCACACATACAATAAAAGAACGACTTGCGTGCTTGAAGTTTTTCTGCTTGACAGCGTACGTGAGCGTCAAAACGCTAGCAGCGCAGCGGCAGAGAAATTGCCTATCCTTTGGGCCCTGCGTGCTGCCTCTGCTGGCCACCACTGATTGAAATACAAAAGTATTAAATTCAACATTTATTTAAACATTTATTTGAATTTGAAATTATTTTTCTTTTATATGACTAACATATGTAGTATCTAATATTTTCTACCTTGACTACCTTTTCATTTAAATATTATGCCTTGTTATTTTTCATTAAATTCCATTTTTTCTACACTACCTTTGCTTATACAACTTCTTGAGGCTTCTTTATATTCACAGACTTGTTTTTCTTATTTCATATTTACAGCTACCATTCTGTAGAATATTGTTCTCCTCCATCCATTAATAATATAAATACCCCTTACTTACGAATCCTAACAACTAACGACTACCCTTTACTTTCAGCACCGCCTGGAGGCCTACGAAGTGCTGGTCCAGCCGGAAACTTGGGTGGCCTCTCACGGACGCGGCATTGTGCCCGGAACAGTGATTGGCGGTCACGACTCCGATGGCGATCAGATCTATGTGGGTCGCGCCTACCACGAAGGCGACTTGCTGCCAGCCAAGGTAAGTGGCTTTAAGCTAGAACTAAATTCAAGGAAAAATCATATACTTATTCATGCATCCCCCAGGTGATTCCCAACAAGGGCTGTGCCTATGTTCCCTATGGAGGCGGTGAGGTGGTCAAGCACGACTACGAACTGCTGGCCGGCTACGGATACGGTTGGGTGCACGACAGCCACGGCAATGTGCCCGGCAACGCCGTGCTCTGCGGTCGCACTTCCGACGGAGAGCCCCTGTTCATCGGCCGTGCCCACCACCACGGCAGCCTGACCCCCGGAAAGATCCACCAGTCGCACCACTGCCTCTACATCCCCTTCGGCGGCGAGGAGGTCCGTCTAGACCACTACGAGGTCCTGGTCAAGGGTTAGGGGGCTAAGCTGCTCCGATCCGCTTCGTAAAACCCGTTTCGTCTGCCTTCTAATTTATAGCTCATCTTGTTTCATTAAAAATGTCTTCCCACTAATCCACTTTGTCGGACTTTTTCAAGGGAAGAGGTGGTTATGCTTATTTTTCAGACAATGTATCATGAGTACAGGTAGCATAGGTAGCTGAAGATGTAGTCGGTCGACTTCATCCCAAAAACACATTACATCGAATAATAAGAGAATATAACAACGCTTCTCCTATGCATAATAACAGCCTTTTTTCTTTTTTAAACAATGAGGGTGTAATCAAAAAGTTCTAAAAGCTCTAATCAAAACTAATAGGTCGAGTGTCTCGACTATCAGATACCCCTACCCTTTCACCAATTCTTAAAAGGGTTCTACACGCTCAGAGAGCCTGAACATTTCTATTGGCGAGGGCCGCCTACCGGCAGTTAATGAAATCACGGATCAACCATGGCTTTTTAAGTTATACTCAAAAACAAATTGCAGTTTGTGGTAAATCGCCTTAAAACTCAGTACAAATTTATAATGAGAAATAAACCAACCAGAAGGCAATATCATCACGAATAAGCATTTAAAACTAAAAAAAAAATAATATTTATTACCTAGAAAGTACTTAAATAAAAAAAAAACATTTTGTTTATTTTAATGGACTAAACCAGCGGTCGGCAGCGCCCTATTAAGTGAGCATTGGGTTTTGTTCTGCCGGCGCGCTGCTCACACATGTATAACGTAGAACAGCGGTCTGCACACACACATCGATGAGCTGCCCAGTGCAAATTACTCACACAAATATAAAACAAAATGTCAACGTATGTGTGTGCCGACCGATGGACTAAACCAAAGGATACCTTGCAAAGGAGGCGATGCCGCAATGGTTATTTGCATTCCGTAACATCTTTATGTAGCCACCAATTCCCCAACTGGTGCCCCAATGGTTTTTTACCAGCCAGTAATCCGTGCCATCCGGATCGGTTCCATAACCAACAACAAGAGCAGCATGGCTATTGTTCCGAGAACTGCATTTGGGCTCATGGTAAATTCCTGAGGTATAGCCATAGAAGGATTCGTGGGCGCCATCAATGCTTACGTAAGCGGGTCCAAAGAAAGCCACAGCCTCGGCGAGTTTCTTTTCGTCGGCGAAGGGTATTTTCACAAACCCAGAGCTAGTGGCTCCGATCCCGGCTTTATAACAGCTCCCTTGGACTCTCTTATAGGGGTACTCTTGCTCTGTAGCAATGCCATTTTCTTTTATGTAGGCAATTGATCTGTCCAACCAACCGCCCTTGCAGCCCATATTTCCATAACTTTGAGAGCAGTCTATCAGATTTTGTGGGGACAGTGGGATCAATTTCCCGGTCTTTCGGAAGTGCTGACCTTCTAGAGCTCCAGCTGTGACGAAAGCCCAGCAGCTGCCACAATGGCCGTGATGCCTGACCGGGGTGACTGCACCCCTTGCCGTCCAGTTAACTGATTTCGGGAGGGTTTCGTACTCAGGCGAAATAAATGTCGAGCCCCTGAAACAACAACAAAAATGCATTAGAAAATGTCCATATAGACAAAGATTTGCTATCCATATTAACAAAGCTGTTCTAATCGACTTGACTTATTAAACAGATCTGTTATGTTTTGTTTAGAGTTAGAGTTAACTTACTGCAACTCCAGGTTTTCAAGTTGAAGAAAGTCGTCCATCGTATCCTTAAACTCAGTGTTGACGGACTTGGAAAACTCTTGTACTCTCCACTTTAAGGTTTCCAGACTTTGGGAAACGTCAATCTTATTCTTCTGGATTGTGGGTTGAGCAAACGCCAGCCAGGTTAGAAGTAGAAATATCAAGGTATGCTCCATTTTATTTAGATATTGTAGCCTGACTTGAATGCCTCAAATATGTGACAACTCTCAGTCTTCTCTCCATGGCGTTTTAATACCTATTTAAGCTTCTGATGGCGTACAGCTAAATTTATACAAAACTTTTTAACTTTCAAAAATTATATTTCTATAAATATCCAAAATGTTCATTTCCTCAAATGTTGATGAAATGACAAAGTTGACGTCACTGACATGTCATTCTATCCACTTACTAACGGGAAATAGACGAATGAAATTAAAAAGAGATAATACGGATTCAAAAATACGAAATACATTTAATGACGAATAACATGTTTGAGGCATCCCCAGCCAGTCATCATTTCAAGCGCTCCGCGAACGGAATTCAAAAGCCCCCATGACATACGTAATACATTCGATTTTTTTAACAACTTAAGAGTTACATGATGGATATATAAAAACAAGAGAGAACACAATAGTCGGGTGCACCGACTATCAGATACCCGTTACTCAGCTAGAGTGAGTGCGAGGGATACATAAAACTTGAATCGCGCATAACTTTTTAAGGAATGTTCCGATTTTAAAAATTTCTATTGATAAACAGCATAAAACTGCATTTTTACTTTTCCGAAATCTTTAAAGGTGTGGGCGCAAGATAATTGTTTAAAATTTTAAAATTGTTTAAGGCGATTGTGGGCGTTAGAGGAGTGTGGCCCTAGGCTAAAATAACTTGCGCTGCATAGGAAGACCAATAATATGTGGCGGAAATCCCAAACTTCTAGCTTTTGTTGTTTCCGAGATCTCAGCGTTCACACGTACAGACAGACATACGGACAGACGGCAGGATCGACTCGGCTAGTGATCCTGATCCTGATCGGAAACGCTTCCTTCTACCTGTTACATACTTTTGCACGAATACCATATACCCTTTTACTCTACGAGTAACGGGTATAACAATACCAAAATGAGATCATAATCTTATTAAGGTTAAAACCATGTGCAGATTCACGGGGGGATTTGATATCATATAAACGATTACTCCAGTCAGTAGTGTATATTTATAAAAAACGTTGTTAGGTAATTAAATTTTTCCCTTTTTTATTTTGATATGAAGAACATTCCACCCAAAAAATTTTGCCCAACGACAAGGGCATCAAGAATAATAGGTTAAAATATGTTTGCTTAGATAACTGAGATCCAGTGCCAGACTGCAGTGCCATTTTAATTAAAAATGTTTTAATACCTTTTTAGTTATTTATAACCGTTTTTTTTTTGTACTTCTTAATTTTATGATAATTTGTACAATTACATTAGAGTTACATAAATAGTTAAAACTTATCGAATGGGCAGAATCCGCCTAAGCTAGGGGATACTTTGGAAATGAGGCTATGCCACAGTGGTTATTCGCATTGCGTATCATCCTGATGTAGCCATTTTCTCCCCAATCGGTGCCCCAGGAGTTCTTTACCAGCCAGTAATCCTTGCCGGTTTCCGAATCGGTTCCATAGCCAACGACAAGGGCATCATGTGCTTTTCCTGGTTTCAATCGGTCACTGCACTCGGGATCTTCGTAGATTCCCGATTTGTAATTAACAAAGGATTCCTGAGACCCATCGATGCTCACGTAAACGGGTCCAATGAAAGCCACAGCCTCGGCTAGTTTCCTCTCGTCGCCATAAGGTAATTTCACAAATCCAGAGCTAGTGACCCCGCTAGCGAAATTGGAATTGGTGCAGTAGCCTTGGACGCTTTGGTAGGGATACGATTGTTCCGTAGCAATGCCATTGTGTTTTATGTAGGCAATGGATTTTGCCAAGAAACCGCCGTCACAACCGTGGTTTCCATAAGTGTTTGAGCAGTCCATCAGATTTTGGGGGGACAGCGGGATTAGCTTTCCGGTCTTTCGGAAGTGCTGACCCTCTAGGGCTCCTGTGGCTGCAAAGGCCCAGCAACTTCCGCAGGTTCCAAATAAGTTCTGATTCTTTACCGGGGTCACAGCGCCCTTAAGCCTCCAGTCCACCAGTTTGGGCAGTGGTAAATTATCAGGAGAGATGAAGGCCGAGCCGCTACAAATTATTATCGAATTAATTAGTGTAAGAAATTTCTTATGTTTTATTTATGATATGTTTGTATTTCATTTGTATGATATTTGCCGCTGTTCGGACAGAGCTATTCGCGATATCTACCGACCGACCATTATAATTCAAACTTACCGCATCTGCAGCTTTTTAATATTTCCAGACGTTGGGAAATATGGATCAGTCAGGAGTAGAAATATCAAGATATGCCTCTTTTTATTGTGTCAATTTAGGAACTTTAAGTCTATTCTCCAACGCGTTTTAATAGCTACTTAAACTTTTCCATTGCTTGAAGCTTAATTTATACAAATTTTTCAACTTTCCAAAAAAAATGTACTTCTAAAGATATTAAAAAGGTTCATTTCCGCAAATGTTAATGAAATGACAAAGTTGACGTCACTAACATTTCGTTCTGTTCCCTTATTAGGAAAAATATTCGAATAAAACTAAAAAGAGATAATATGATTTCAGAAGACTCTCCTCAAATACATTTTTAAAAAAAACGTTGAAATACGTAATACAATTTATGACAAATCGCATGTTCGAGGCATCCCCAGCGAGTCATCATTTTAGGCGGTGAGAGCCTTTCGCACTCGATTAAATTTTTTTTTTTGATTATGTTTGGGAGTATAAATACAATAAGAAATTACTTTAAACAAACAATACCATAAAATCTATATATAAAATATATAACTTTAATACTGCATTCATCATTTCACTTAAAGAGGGCGAATTAATCTTCGAAACTGGAATCATCCCACATTCACACTAAAATAATACAACCCTTTATTATACTGCAGCTTACCTAATTAAAAATGTATTAAATACTTTTTATACCCGTTACTCGTAGAGTAAAAGGATATATTAGATTCGTGCAAAAGTATGTAACAGGTAGAAGGAAGCGTTTCCGACCCTATCAACCATATATATTCATGATCAGGATCACTAGTCGAGTCGATCTAGCCATGTCCGTCTGTCTGTCTGTCCGTATGAACGCTGAGATCTCGGAAACTACAAAAGCTAAAAGGTTGAGATTTCCCACACATATTCTTCAGCTTCCTACGCAGCGCAAGTTTATTTCAGCCAAGCGCCACGCCCCCTTCTACGCCCATAATCGCTTATATATATATTTTAGATATCGGACCATTCGTTAAAAAGTTACGGCGGATCAAAGTTTTTATCTCCATCTCCTTCGCCCTCCCTTTAGCTGAGTAACGGGTATCTGATAGTCGGGGCACCCGACTATAGCGTTCTCTCTTGTTTTTTATCACATCCTCTTCTTTTATTTTCATAATAAATATTATATTTACATTACAGTTAGTTAGAACTAATGAGATCTTTTTGAAATTGCCCGTTTTTGTCTAAACCAGAGGATACCTTGCAAAGGAGGCTATTCCGCAGTGGTTGTTCGCATTGCGTATCATCCGGATGTATCCGTTTTCTCCCCAATCGGTGCCCCAAGAGTTCTTAACCAGCCAGTAATCCTTGCCGGTTGCCGGATCGGTGCCATAGCCAACGATGAGGACATCATGTATTTGCCCTGCCTTTTGTATTGAGCTTGAGCACTTGGGATCTTCGTAAATTCCCGATTTGTGATTAAGGAAGGATTCCTGAGACCCATCGATGCTCACGTAAATGGGTCCAATGGAAGCCACGGCCTCGGCTAGTTTCTTCTCGTCGCCATAGGGTAATTTCACGAATCCAGAGCTAGTGGCTCCGATGGTGGCGCTCCTATGCTGGCATTCCCCTTGGACGTTCCTATAGGGATATGACTGCTCCGTTGCTAAGCCACCATTGTGCTTTATGAAGTCGATGGATTTGGCCATTGAACCACCGTCGCAGCCTCTGTTTCCATATCGTGCAGAACAGTCTATCAAGTTTTGGGGCGACAGCGGGATTAGATTTCCTGTCTTGCGGAAGTGCTGACCCTCGAGGGCCCCAGCGGTCGCAAAGGCCCAGCAGCTGCCGCAGCTTTGATTGCTGCTCTGCTGCCTGACCGGAGTAACTGCGCCCAGTGACCTCCAGTCCACCTGGGTGGGGAGGTTCAAGTAATAGGGAGCGATGAAGGTGGAGCCCCTGTAACAAAACAGTTCAATTTATAAGCAAAGCCAATAAAAAGAATATGAACCTGGATGAGCTATTTGAACTTTTGCAACTGAGCTAATCTTATTGAATAGTTTACTTACTGCATTTCCGGACTTCTTTCGCCGCCATTGTGGTTCGTCTTCTGGGTAAACTTAGCGGTGAGAAAGTCGGTGAACTTGCTTACTGCCAGGTTAAAAATTTGAAGACGTTTTGCAAATCGCCGGTTGTGTTGGCCAATCCGGACCTTATTCTCCCCATGCTTTAGCTTAGAATTATTCCAGTATTTCTGAGAAACTGCGCCTAAGGCTAGGGATTGAGCCATCGCAAGCAGAACTAAAAGAAGAAATATCACGGTCTGCTTCATTTTGTGTATAACTTTTCACTACTTTTTTCTAAGCTGAATAACTAAAAATTGCGACTACTCTTAATAGGTTTCAGTACTAAATTATACTTCTCCACAGCTTTCATCTGTATTTATACTAGTTAGATGATTAAAATATGAACCTACTTAAAAAAATTGTGATACCTATTAATCACAAATTAAAGTCCACAGGGCTTCCCTCTGTCAGTTATTGTTATTCCCATTGCCTTATAAGCTTATCAGACAACAAATATGTTCGCGAGTACACTCATAAAAAAAAATCGAAGAATTTCCTTAAAATCTAGAAAATTCTTTCTTGAATTTTTGCCAAAGGCGACCTTACCTTTGTTTCAAGAAATGGTTTTTTTGAAAGGCACCATTAAAACCATCGAAAAAGATTTCTTGTTTTAAGAAATTAAATTTCTTAAAACAAGAAAGGGTGGTTTCTTGAAAGCCACCATAAAAACAAGAAAAAATATTTCTTAAAACAAGAAAGGCGATTCTTGTTTCAAGGTAGATTTTTTTCTTGTTTCAAGAAATTAAATTTCTTAAAACAAGAAAGGGTCTTTTAGAAAGGCACCTTTTGAACAAGAAAAATTCTTTTACTCAGTTTTAACTTCCTTTCAAGAAATTTTATTTCTTGATTTAAGAAATAATATTTCTTGAAGGGAAGTTTTATATTAACACTGAAACCCTAAAAATAAAATGTAACTTGGTATTTTACTTTTGCATATTTTATTTATTTAAATTTAAAACATTTAACACTGAACATTTAAACAATTTTAAATAACACATTTTTGACTTAAGAAAACATTATTATAACCAAATATGTAGTTGCAGGCATAAAAAATTATTTTCTTCGGCTTTCCTCATCTGGAAAAAAGGAGTTATTGGGATATCAATGATTTGTTTTTAGATAAGAATAGATAGATGTTTTTAGATAATAGATAATAATGTAATGTTAAAAATAGCGCAAATACAAACACGTTGGTCAGACGACCGAGAAAGGAGCAAAACAGGTAGAAAATGAAGAAGGAAGGGTTGAAAATCTTATTTCAGAAAGAGCCACATACAAAAATATTATACCCTAAAAACATTCTTTTGCGCGAAGGGCACCGAATGCCTTGAGCAGGTCAGATTATGGCAAATTTTAAGAAGGAGTAGAGAGAAACGTCGCGACGCGTAGGTCAAGCGAGCGAAAGAGTAGGAGCAGAATATGTAAAGGGTTGAAAATCATTTTAGGGTTTCGAGCGATCGAAGGTGAGCCGCGTAACAAGCATAGATCAATTTACATGCATGCCACATAAGTATGTCAAACAAATACGAACATGATGTGTCTTACCTTAGAATGTTTTAAAACAAAATGACAGCTTCGCTAAACAAATTATTTGGCTAGATGCATACTGCAGGTATTTTCACTCTGAAAATAAATAAAATGCGAGTAATAAGATAAAGTTAGTCTTCTAGAACTCTACACCCACAGATTTATATACAAATGTAGGTATGTACTTAGCTCTTAGCTAAAAAACCAGTTCAACTAAATTGGTATACGTTTGGCAAAGAGATTGTGAAATTTACCCTTTAATTCGGACCTACATACAATTGTACGCCCGCTATACAAAAACTTATATATTTACATACCTTTGAATATTTGTGAAAAACTGTGCCTAAGTCTTCCGCTTGAAAGATCACGTCCATCACTACAGGACTTTTTTCAGAACTGAAACATCGGGGGATCAGAGAAGTCGGTTTCCGGGTAAACCTTTCGTCCCACTTCGTTTTTCTTGTCGTTAACATACGGCAGCCAAAGGAAGTCAATGCGCTACTCTTCCTATATTCCAGGGTCATTTCATTCATACTTATTCAAAGGCGATTTTGTCCGTAAATATACTAGTAAAATGTTTAAGCTACGAAGGCAAAACAGAAAAATGAGATTTTGATTTTTCTATTTTTAACAAATTAAATTCCTTCATGAATTCCCTTTGCATCAAGTAAGGTTATTCTGTCATTGCCTAAAGGCCAATTTTCTAGATAACAAGAAATTTTTTTCGATTTTCAAAGGACAAAACGATTCAAGGGCGAGCTTTGCAAAAATTACGAAACTATAAATTTTATGAGTGCTACAAACAAAACATTGAAGTGAGGCTTTAAAATAATGTAACGATACTATAAGAATATGATTTCTACACAATTGACAAATATTTGAATGAAACACAATAATGTAAGATTTAAAGCAAAACATATTGAACAGCTTGATTAAATTTGAAAATATTTATACTACATTATAATTTGCACATTTTAGCGTAAAATTTGGAGAACATAAAGAACGACGTATTTATTGTACAATTGATTAGGCGTCAGAAGAGGCACTCTTTCCTGTTGTTTTATACTCGCGAATTTGAATAAATATAAAATAATGAGAATACCGGAACCTTCGATTTGTCAGACATTTTTTGAAATCGTATTTTGTATTTTTAGTTCAATTTCTCTATTTCCTGTAAATTCATTGAACAATTTTTGACGTAAATAAGCTTTTGCATTGATCTCACTAGTATAAATACAAATGGAAGCTATGGAGAGACATCATTAAATATTAAAACATTTTGAAGAGTTGTTGCATATTTAAGATTTACCCAGCATAAAGTGGCACAATTTCGAAACAAAATGAGGCATACCTTGATATTTCTTTTCCTGAACCTGCTGGCGGTGGTCCAACCAAGGAAAACCCCCGACGAAGAGCACCAGATGAGGTAAGCTATCTTTGGAATGAGCTGTTTAACTAATCAATATGATTAGAAAAGTTTAAGTAGCTTCAATAAATTTAATTTTTGTTTTCCAGCTGTTTCGATCTTCCGAAAAAATGGGATTGGAGGTCACAAAAGGCAGTGTCCCCGGTCAGGGATCAAGGAAGCTGCTACAGCTGCTGGGCCTTTGCAACCGCAGCAGCCATCGAATCTCACTACTTTATCAAAACTAAAAAGCGTATCTTACTATCACCCCAACATCTGATAGACTGCACTCTGAATAATAATGGCTGCAATAATGGTACGGTGACAAATGCCATGAACTACATAACTGAGAACGATGGCATCGCCACGGAGCAATCGTATCCCTATGAGGGCATCCAAGGCAAATGCCGCAATAAGGACGGCAAAATCGGAGCCACTATCTCTGGATTTACGAGAATACCTGAGGGCGACGAGATGAGTTTGGCGGATGCTGTGGCTTTCAAGGGACCTGTCGTCGCTGTTATTGATTCCGACCACTATTCCTTGTCAAAATACTCGTACAACACTGGAATTTACTATGAGCCCAAATGCAGCCCTAATTTTAAAGGCAAGGCCCATTCTATCCTTGTTGTTGGCTTTGGCACTGAGTCCGGACAGGATTACTGGTTGGCAAAGAGCTCTTGGGGCGTCGGCTGGGGAATTGTCGGGTACATCAAAATATCACGTAATAACGAAAACCATTGCGGCATCGCTAGCTATGCCAAGTACCCAGTGCTTTAATAGGAAATTGCCTATCAAAAAATATTTAACATTTAGTACTTTATCCGCATTAAAACTAAATAAAAACATATTAAAATTATCGGAAATATGAAACTGTGTAAACAAAATTATTTTAAAAATGTTTTTTCTCTTCACAACATGGGAGTTGTTGTAGAAATTCTTCTTTGAAACCATCTAATTTAAAAGATTAAATACCGTTTTCTCGTGCATGTTAAATTTAAATTACGGATAATACCTTAAAAACGTATGGGAATTTCAAGTTAAAAGCTTACTTTAAATTTAACATGCGGACATTTGTGTGAATTTCGCTGCTGTGAGTGGAACTATTTCATGGCTGAAATCGGTTGGGGACATGCGCGGATCCACACGGATGTAAAGTAAAAGGAAATGTGGTATTTTAAAGGGGTACAACCAAAAATTTGTTCTGAATTTCCCCTCACAATGAAAGTGGATCCGCCACTGGTAGGTGACCACTTTAATATTATAAAACTTATAATAATAATGTCAACGCCCCTGCCTTTACTGCAAAGTTTCGATTTGATATTTTTTATAAAGATTTGTCTTGAACTCCCAATTCTTTCCCGAAATATTAGACCATACGTTTAATTTACATTTTTCTTCTAGTTCCATCTCTTTATTTCCGAGGAGTATGAAGAATATCAAAAAGAAAAGGTCACTGCACTTATATCATCAGAAATCCTGCCCTGAGAAGATATGCTTTACATTGCGTAGCTTTTTCAGAGCTTTTTGATAAATTTCTACATGTGGTGTAGATGAAATGTAAAGATACATTCTGAGGGTCGAATGTGTATCTTCTCGTTTCGCTCTTCTTGCTCTGACGAGCTCTCTTTCTCACTCGCCCTCGCTTTTTGATTTTCATTGGTCGTTTGTTCGGTATCGTTTCCTATTGGGTGACTGCAACAGGCCCCTCCCCGAACGCGTAACATAATTGGCCTTTGTGGCAAGTTCTTCGGCTTGTGGACGTGGCCAACTGAAAGTGGCAATATACCAAGACAAGGTGGTCTCATTTGTATCGCATTTATTTCTTTGCATTACCCCAGAAATCAAAGAAACACGTAATTATAGGTATTGACGACATTTCTCAGATTTTTATGTGTATTTTTATTGATATTCGTTTGAGAAAAAGTTGTACCAAAAAGTTGGCATTGCAAACTGGTTTTTTTTGGGACGCTTACCTGGGGATCTGAAAATGCCGTCGCGTTTTACCGTTTCCATTAAAACTGGTTACTCAAAAGCGGAAAAGACTTAGGACGAGACTTAAAAAAGCCGTTCAAGCTTTAAACTTGTATACAGCCTAATTATCAAGAAAACTAGTGGAAGATCTATAAAATAAATGGAATGTGTTATTCGTACAGTTTTTTGTTGAATAATTGGATTGAAAGACATTGTGGTCTACGATTAAGAACCTTCAAAAGCAACTAATTATTGAAAAAACCATATTGAAAATAATACATTTTTAGTTTTAAACACATTTTTTTTCAAAAACGCAAGCACATTTAAATAAAATATAATAATTAGATCGAATACGCCATATAATGGGTGTCTCAGACATAATTTTGGCGACAGTTGGTTTAGAAACCGACCAACCAAAACCGTCGGTGTTTTGTTAGAGTTTCTGATTAAATTTTCTCTGATTTTGGGAGCATTTGCTTCAAAACCAACAATTTAATTGGTTTTAAATAGTCTACTTGATTTTGGAAAGGTTTGTGTGACTCCGAGACTTGGTTTTATGGAAAAATTTGGTTGGAAGAGAATTCCACTGATACTAAAATCCAAAAACCCTGAACATCCATTTTGGTTTTCTGTAAATAGGATGAAATAGAAAACAAATTTGATTACAATCTACACAGAGAAAAAAACTATGAACATTGCACTCAAATCAAGAACATTCGTTCTTAAAAACCGGGTAAGCACAAATGTTCTCATTTCGAGTTGAATGTTCTCAACATCAGAACGAAATGGTGTTAGCTAATAATCCGACATTGAGTTCATTTCGTTCTTTTTCAAGTTGATTTTGTCCTTAATTCAAGAACATTTTTAAATCAAATGGATACAAAAATAAGTTCATTTGTTATATTTTCAGAACATTTCAATTCTATAGCATTTTGAATTTAATTTTAGCTAAAGATAAGAGTCATTTAGGATCAAAAGTAATTGATATGTAATATTAAGGTAGTTGTCCAATTAACTTTTCCAAAAGTAACTTCATCCTACACCTTATAAAGGTGCGGAAGTTTATAAAACCCCTAAGCCAGAAAAAAGTCTTTAAGTCTCAATATCTGACTTGGCCTTGGTTCATGAAGGGCTAGACCCAGTTGGGAATTATAAATAAGACGAAAAGGGCAAATCTAATGGTAAGGTCGTATTGGAGCAAAGGAAAATGGCCTAATGCGTGCTAGGTGTCAAACGAAAACATCCTAACGCTTTCTAGGAAATCCATAAAAATTAGAGAATAGAGTTTCGAATCACTTTAAGTTGAAATGCAACTTAATTTTTGTTCATTCTTTAGTCCTTTTTGTTCTCAAACTGAGAACATTTTGAGGGATTGTGGTTTTTGAGAACAAAATCGATTTGATTTAAGAACCCTGTGCTAAAATAATAACATTTCGTTTTTATTTCAAGAACATTCTAAGCTCAACTAGAATTTAAGAACCAATTTAACTTAATTCAAGCACATTTAGAACATTTTGAACTTAAAAAAGGCATTTATATTTTTAAGAACATTTTCAACTCAGATGAGAACGTCAGAATTCTCTCTGTGTACAACTTAAAGAAGTTTTATGGCATTTCTTGTTTTAATATTATATGGTAAAATTCCATAACGTTAATAATAATGCAAAATATTCAAACACCCATAGCATCCCAACTTAAATAAGTAACTTGGAATATTAGAGTAAACATTTAAATGAAATTTACCCCTTCTTGTTCAACTCCTTTTATTTGAATATCCGACACCCCAAAATCTACGCACCAGCTTTTCCATTCACTGTCAATTTCAGACTTTGCAACGACAGAGTCATAATTTTAAAGCCATACATGGAGTACGGCATGTACGGGAACCCACCCTCACATCACATACCCCTCGGCCAATATAAATTCTTGTAATTTAATTTTGCTATTGCAAGGGAAGCACACTCACATACTCGTAATCCGGGCATCCACATCCACGTGAAGTCTCTGCGAAGAGATATTAAAAGGCAACTCTGATGCTATCGGAGACCACATCCCATTGAAGCCCAGCTTCCTTTACTTTTTGCCGCTTTTTTGCCGCCAACCCTCGGAATAACTGTGAAAATGCTCGGAATTCCGGGGCCCAAGCTACAATAACAACGGGGAACGGGACGACTATCAGTTTCTGCAGACGAGAGGAATGACAAAATTTCGCCTCTGGGCTGTCACATTATCTGAACCTCTACTACACACATACTTGCATACAAGCCTATATCCATATCTCAGTATCTGTATCTTTTTTGCAGGGCTCAGCGGTTAGCTGGCAACGAATGAAGCCGTTTTGGAGTTGGGGGTCACTCCGGTAAATACGATTTTCATATGCCCACAAGTACATAGGGAAAAAAGTCCTATGTACAACAAAAGGCGATACAATTAGTTGGAAAGCCCAAGTGCGATTCGATGTCGGTCTATCTCTATCCCTGAGTTGTGTGAAAGGGAGGGTTGCTCTGCCGACGTCGCTGCTAGGACGTAGTCTTCTCGGCTTCCTTTTTTTTCGTTTCGACCTGAGGGGTGCGGGTCTTCATCCTGCTTTGTTAACGAACGACGAGCGCAAAGCGAAAAACTGAAAAATGTACATAAAATGGAAATGAGAGGCTTTTGTTAAGCGCTCGTTCGGTGATGGGCGTTTCGGTATATAAATCGACACCGAAACCGAAAACCTTTCTTGAATTTAAAACCCCGGCACTCAACGCCTACGTCGATCCGAGCAGCGACGCCGGCGCAGGCAGCGAATGAAGCTGCTGTACACGCGAACAAATTTCGACGTTCCCCCAAAAGACCTATTTGTAATTTTATTGAACAAAAAGGGTCTATAAGAGTATAAACTATTTTCTCTTAGATTACATTTCATTCAATATAAAAATGTGGATTTCTAATAGGTGCCCTTTCAATAAAGAGAATTTATTATAATAATTCATTTATATTTGGCCTGTCTAACCTTAAGAAAAACAAAAAGCCACATAATTTTTTTGCTGTGTAATTCCTAATAAATAAGTAAATTAAGTTACTTCCTAAAACAACTTAATTTTTTGCAGTGTAGCTAGCTTGAATGTCATTTTTGGATATGCAATTTTATTGTAGATCGAAAAATATCTTGCTTTATCCGTGAAAGATAAATATAATATATCGTGATCTTATCTTAAGCGACTTATTTCTAGAAGTGTAGCGGCCAAGTGAAGATTTCGACTGCGCTTCTTCTAATTAGTTTTCGGAGTCTAAAAATAAGTTTTGTGGAACTACGGGGCAGCGGGTGCGAATGAGGGTTAGAGTGATATAGTACATATTTCTCATCTGCTGCGTGATAATTCAATTAGGAATGTGTGAATCAGCAGCAACAACAAACAGAGCTGCAGGCGGCGTTGCAGCGGAAGCGCAGGCGAAAGAGGGAAGGAAAAAGAGAAAGGGAGAGAGAGGAGAGGAAAAGAGTGTGTTCCTCAATAGAAAGGCCGGAGCAAAGAGGAATATGCGGAGAGAGAGAAAGAGTGAAAATCATCCATGTCCATGTCCATTCCATGTTGCATGCAACCCCGTTCGGTTTTTTTTTTTCTTCGTCCAACGTGGATGTGGCAGGAACAGAAAGTTGTTGTTGCCTTTGCTGCTGCCTTTGCCACGGCAACAATTTATGTGCTTGTATGTGTGCTGGTACATAAAAATAGCGGTCGAGGCAGCCACGACGCCAGCAGAGCAGCAGCAGAGGCAGAAGCAGAGGCGGAGAGGCAGACGCAAATACTCTGCGGGGAAGGGGTGGG